TAGAAGACTTTATGGCGTAGATTATACAGTCAGGCAAGTCTCCTTTAATTGCTGTTATTTACAGGTCCAAGGTGTTGATAAGCCAGTGCTCCTCTTATGTTTGAAATTTCATATATTTAAAGGGTTCCATGCCCGTCCGTCTGTTTCAGTGGTGTGTTTTGGCCAATGCCATCACTGATGATGGACGACATAGCAATAGAGTGCAGTGCAATTCACTTTTGGAAAACTGTTATAACATCGTATTGGTGCAATCCCATACGTTCATCACTTAACATTGTTGTATTAGACATTACTCCTGATACAGTCATTGTATTTGTTTACAGTCCCAGGGTGTAACCCACAAAGTGGTTACATTGAACATTACTCCTGTAGCTGATACAGTCATTGTATTTGTTTACAGTCCCAGGGTGTAACCTACAAAGTGGTAACATTGAATATTACTCCTGTAGCTGATACAGTCATTGCATTTGTTTACAGTCCCAGGGTGTAACCCACAAAGTGGTTACATTGAACATTATTCCTGTAGCTGATACAGTCATTCTATTTGTTTACAGTCCCAGGGAGTAACCTACAAAGTGGTAACATTCAACATTACTCCTGTAGCTGATACAGTAATTGTATTTGTTTACGGTCCCAGGGTGTGACCTACACAGTGGTTACATTGAACATTACTCCCGTAGCTGATAAAGTCATTGTATTTGTTAACGGTCCCAGGGTATAACCTACAAAGTGGTAACATTCAACATTACTCCTGTAGCTGATACATTCATTGTATTTGTTTACAGTCCCAGAGTGTAACCTACAAAGTGGTAACATTCAACATTACTCCTGTAGCTGATACTGTCATTGTTTTTGTTTACGGTCCAAGGGTGTCACCTACAATGGGGTTACATTGAACATTACTCCTGTATCAGCTACAGGAGTAATGTCTAATGTAACCCCTTTGTAGGTTACACCCTGGGACCGGAAACAAATACAATGACTGTATCAGCTACGGGAGTAATGTTCAATGTAACCCCTTTGTAGGTCACACCCTTGGACCGTAAACAAAAACAATGACTACAAATACAATGACTGTATCAGCTACGGGAGTAATGTTCAATGTAACCCCATTGTAGGTGACACCCTTGGACCGTAAACAAAAACAATGACTACAAATACAATGACTGTATCAGGAGTAATGTCTAATACAACAATGTTAAGTGATGAACGTATGGGATTGCACCAATACGATGTTATAACAGTTTTCCAAAAGTGAATTGCACTGCACTCTATTGAAACAATGACTGTATCAGCTACATGAGTAATGTCCAATGTTACCACTTTGTACGTTACACCCTGGGACTGTAAACAAATGCAATGGCTGTATCAGCTACAGGAGTAACATTGAATATTACTCCTGTAGCTGATACAATCATTGTATTTGTTTACGGTCCCAGAGTGTAACCTACAAAGTGGTTACATTAGACATTACACCTGTAGCTGATACAGTCATTGTGTTTGTTTACGGTCCAAGGGTGTAACCTACAAAGGGGTTACATTAGACATTACTCCTGTAGCTGATACAATCATTGTATTTGTTTACGGTCCCAGTGTGTAACCTACACAGTGGTTACATTGAACATTACTCCCGTAGCTGATACAGTCATTGTATTTGTATACAATCACAGGGAGTAACCTACACAGTGGTTACATTGAACATTACTCCCGTAGCTGATAAAGTCATTGTATTTGTTAACGGTCCCAGGGTATAACCTACAAGGTGGTAACATTGAATATTACTCCTTTAGCTGATACAGTCATTGTATTTGGTTACAGTCCCAGGGTGTAACCCCCAAAGTGGTTACATTGAACATTATTCCTGTAGCTGATACAGTCATTGAATTTGTTTACAGTCCCAGGGTGTAACATACAAAGTGGTAACATTGAACAATACTCCTGTAGCTGATACAGTAATTGTATTTGTTTACGGTCCCAGAGTGTAACCTACAAAGTGGTTACATTAGACATTACTCCTGTAGCTGATACAGTCATTGTTTTTGTTTACGGTCCAAGGGTGTAACCTACAAAGGGGTTACATTGAACATTACTCCTGTAGCTGATACAGTCATTGTATTTGTTTACGGTCCCAGGGTGTAACCTACAAAGTGGTTACATTGAACATTACTCCTGTAGCTGATACAGTCATTGTATTTGTTTACAGTCCCAGGGTGTAACCTACAAAGTGGTTACATTGAACATTACTCCTGTAGCTGATACAGTCATTGTATTTGTTTACAGTCCCAGGGTGTAACCTACAAAGTGGTTACATTGAACATTACTCCTGTAGCTGATACAGTCATTGTATTTGTTTACAGTCCCAGGGTGTAACCTACAAAGTGGTTACATTGAACATTACTCCTGTAGCTGATACAGTCATTGTATTTGTTTACAGTCCCAGGGTGTAACCTACAAAGTGGTTACATTGAACATTACTCCTGTAGCTGATACAGTCATTGTATTTGTTTACAGTCCCAGGGTGTAACCTACAAAGTGGTTACATTGAACATTACTCCTGTAGCTGATACAGTCATTGTATTTGTTTACAGTCCCAGGGTGTAACCTACAAAGTGGTTACATTGAACATTACTCCTGTAGCTGATACAGTCATTGTATTTGTTTACAGTCCCAGGGTGTAACCTACAAAGTGGTTACATTGAACATTACTCCTGTAGCTGATACAGTCATTGTATTTGTTTACAGTCCCAGGGTGTAACCTACAAAGTGGTTACATTGAACATTACTCCTGTAGCTGATACAGTCATTGTATTTGTTTACAGTCCCAGGGTGTAACCTACAAAGTGGTTACATTGAACATTACTCCTGTAGCTGATACAGTCATTGTATTTGTTTACAGTCCCAGGGTGTAACCTACAAAGTGGTTACATTGAACATTACTCCTGTAGCTGATACAGTCATTGTATTTGTTTACAGTCCCAGGGTGTAACCTACAAAGTGGTTACATTGAACATTACTCCTGTAGCTGATACAGTCATTGTATTTGTTTACAGTCCCAGGGTGTAACCTACAAAGTGGTTACATTGAACATTACTCCTGTAGCTGATACAGTCATTGTATTTGTTTACAGTCCCAGGGTGTAACCTACAAAGTGGTTACATTGAACATTACTCCTGTAGCTGATACAGTCATTGTATTTGTTTACAGTCCCAGGGTGTAACCTACAAAGTGGTTACATTGAACATTACTCCTGTAGCTGATACAGTCATTGTATTTGTTTACAGTCCCAGGGTGTAACCTACAAAGTGGTTACATTGAACATTACTCCTGTAGCTGATACAGTCATTGTATTTGTTTACAGTCCCAGGGTGTAACCTACAAAGTGGTTACATTGAACATTACTCCTGTAGCTGATACAGTCATTGTATTTGTTTACAGTCCCAGGGTGTAACCTACAAAGTGGTTACATTGAACATTACTCCTGTAGCTGATACAGTCATTGTATTTGTTTACAGTCCCAGGGTGTAACCTACAAAGTGGTTACATTGAACATTACTCCTGTAGCTGATACAGTCATTGTATTTGTTTACAGTCCCAGGGTGTAACCTACAAAGTGGTTACATTGAACATTACTCCTGTAGCTGATACAGTCATTGTATTTGTTTACAGTCCCAGGGTGTAACCTACAAAGTGGTTACATTGAACATTACTCCTGTAGCTGATACAGTCATTGTATTTGTTTACAGTCCCAGGGTGTAACCTACAAAGTGGTTACATTGAACATTACTCCTGTAGCTGATACAGTCATTGTATTTGTTTACAGTCCCAGGGTGTAACCTACAAAGTGGTTACATTGAACATTACTCCTGTAGCTGATACAGTCATTGTATTTGTTTACAGTCCCAGGGTGTAACCTACAAAGTGGTTACATTGAACATTACTCCTGTAGCTGATACAGTCATTGTATTTGTTTACAGTCCCAGGGTGTAACCTACAAAGTGGTTACATTGAACATTACTCCTGTAGCTGATACAGTCATTGTATTTGTTTACAGTCCCAGGGTGTAACCTACAAAGTGGTTACATTGAACATTACTCCTGTAGCTGATACAGTCATTGTATTTGTTTACAGTCCCAGGGTGTAACCTACAAAGTGGTTACATTGAACATTACTCCTGTAGCTGATACAGTCATTGTATTTGTTTACAGTCCCAGGGTGTAACCTACAAAGTGGTTACATTGAACATTACTCCTGTAGCTGATACAGTCATTGTATTTGTTTACAGTCCCAGGGTGTAACCTACAAAGTGGTTACATTGAACATTACTCCTGTAGCTGATACAGTCATTGTATTTGTTTACAGTCCCAGGGTGTAACCTACAAAGTGGTTACATTGAACATTACTCCTGTAGCTGATACAGTCATTGTATTTGTTTACAGTCCCAGGGTGTAACCTACAAAGTGGTTACATTGAACATTACTCCTGTAGCTGATACAGTCATTGTATTTGTTTACGGTCCCAGGGTGTAACCTACAAAGTGGTTACATTGAACATTACTCCTGTAGCTGATACAGTCATTGTATTTGTTTACAGTCCCAGGGTGTAACCCACAAAGTGGTAACATTGGACATTACTCCTGTAGCTGATACAGTAATTGTATTTGTTTACAGTACCAGGGTGTAACCTACACAGTGGTTACATTGAACATTACTCCTGTAGCTAATACAGTCATTGTATGTGTTTACATTCCCAGGGTGTAACCTACACAGTGGTTACATTGGACATTACTCCTGTAGCTAATACAGTCATTGTATTTGTTTACATTCCCAGGGTGTAACCTACAAAGTGGTTACATTGAACATTACTCCTGTAGCTAATACAGTCATTGTATGTGTTTACATTCCCAGGGTGTAACCTACAAAGTGGTTACATTGAACATTACTCCTGTAGCTGATACAGTCAGGCAATACACCTTTAATTGTTGGTATTTTATTTGTTTACAGGCCCAGGGTGCAACCTACAAAGTTATAACATTACTGGTAAGTTATTTTAAAATTAAGAATTTAAATTTCAGTATTATTTTATCTTAATCAAAATATGAAACGTTATGCATTCGATTCCCCCACTTATTATGTTTGATGCCACAGTCTCTTAGGAAAACACTTTATAACAATGAACAATGTCGTACCATTTTGTCTACAAACATGTTGACAAAGTTCCGATTCAATATCAATTTATCTAATGATAACGTCCAGTTCACTCCCTTATACTCCAATGAAATTGTGTCATTCTCTTGGTAAAAAAACTGTTTTAGTCTAAGCATCCGTATTTTTTATTTATTTAATAATTTTTCTGAAATATGTTAACTGAAAATTGTGGTGCATCAACAAGGTTGTAAATTCAACGTTTAAATTAGAAACGAAACACATTTTTCAATTGAAGTCCCCACCATGGGTTATGGAGCGTGATGGGCGAAGCACAGAGGGTTTTATGATTGATCTGCTCAAGAGAGTGTCGAGGATCTCAGACTTCAACTATACTCTCGCCTACGTCAAGGACGGCAATTACGGCAGCGAGGTGGGCGGTAACTGGAACGGAGCTATTGGCGAACTCATCGCTGGGGTAAGTTTGTGCTAGCAACGACGCATTATTTATTATTTTGATGAAGAAGATAACTTGATTTTTACAGAACACCGTCGCACCACACTGTACTTTGATGAGTAATTCTTCGTTGTAAATACTCATTCCTATTTTTCTGGAACTGCAATCAATAACATATACATTTTTCTATTTATTGTTTAATGTGACATGACTTCAAGCGGTGTGCAATGTTATAACTGTGACATAACGTCCGTAACTGTTCTTATTTTTAATAAAGTAACCGTTCGCGTTGGTTAACGACGTCAATGATCCCAACGGATCCCGAAACATCATGAAACTGATTATTGTTGACGAAATGAACAATAGCCCGACATCGAAAGGCCTCTATGTTTCCGCTGCACTTGAACAGCTATTGACGTCACTCGTCTACTGCAGAGTGACCAGGATGCCTCAAAATGCTCCTAAATAACGTAAAATCGTACTGGTTTTGGTGTTTGTCTCTTGTGTAAATTGGAATGGAAATTGGAACGCGCTATTTTATTGTCAAAACATAAAAGAAGTTTTCTTATTTTCAGTATAACAACAATTTATTGCACTAGCAGTAGGAAGAAGATCCATCAGCTTGGAAATATGTAATATCAACGTTTTACTTTGAACACAATGTACGTGTTAAACGTGTCGCAACGGTACAAGACAAACTGGCTCCTTTGTCAAGCTATATGACACAGGGAACGAGTAAACGTTTCTCAATGTTTCAAGACCGACTGGTCCGAGCTACGAAAAACGGACCAGTCGATCATGAAACGTTGCAACACGTTAATATGTACATTGTTTGTGTATAAAGTAAAACTTTGATATTATTGGCAATATATGTGTAAAATAGAGTGCTGCATATAATTTTGGCAAGTAAATAACGTTCATTTATTATAATTCGAGTCTCTTTCATGTCTAGGACGCACAAATTGCTGCACTACCAATGATAACGACAGAGAAGCGACAGACAGTGGTGGACTTCTCAAGTCCTATCATTAACAGTGGCCACCGGATACTCATCAAAAAGCCAGTCACACATAATGATCCGCTCAAGGTAAGTCAGACGAACAAATGATAACAATTTAGGTCAGACGAACAAATGATAACAAGGTAAGTCAGACGAGCAAATGATAACAAGGTAAGTCAGACGAACAGATGATAACAAGGTAAGTCAGACGAACAAATGATTACAAGGTAAGTCAGACGAACAAATGATAACAAGGTAAGTCAGACGAACAAATGAAAATGAATGTCACACACAATGATCCGCTTAAGGTAGCTCACGAGAACACAAACATTTGGCCATACACGACAATCTGTTCAAGGTAGCTCACGAGAACACAAACATTCGGCCATACACGACAATCTGCTCAAGTAAGGTCACAGGAACATATGAAAATGTCTTCCACCCAAAACGATCCACTCAAGGTATTGGATCTTTTATTATAGATGGGGAAAAGTTAATATAAAAAAATAATGTTTGCATATATATTAACGTTTATATTCCCGCAATCTATTTTTAAAGAGCGAACTTCCTGGATTATTGCTTTTGACAGAACCTATATCCCATCTTAAAATTCCTCATGAATTATTGAAAGAAGTATTATTTAGCACATATCAATGCAAAATTGTCTTACTTTTGTGTCATCAATTTATTCAGAATTGCCGGGCTGTTAATGGTTTCTATTTTACAGGTGTTGTTCGAGCCCTACTCTCTCCCAGTGTGGATACTGGTGATGGTCATCTCTTGGATAATGGGTGCCGTACTTATTGTCATCAACAAATTCAGTCCATCCGAGTGGGGTCAGTTACCCGAAGATGAGGACCCAACGCACTCCAGAAACAGCTTCACTGCCAATAACGCCTTCTTTTTCGTTCATAGTACGCTGACATGGCAAGGTAAGTCATCCGAATTATTCTCACGTGGTACTTAAACTGCACAAATAATATACCCATGTGACACAATAATTCATGTATAGTATACTAACGTCACTCCGTTATTCAATAATAGTATATGGACAGTAAGACAGCAAAAGTAAACTCATCCACACTGTACGTCATTAATTCAATAATTTACGTAAATAGTCATTGCCATCGTCTAGTATATCTTTGGACAATACTTCATCCATAACTACTCATAGACAGCTATTCATTCAGAGATACGCCCGGACAGTTATTCATCCATAGTATAAACCCATGTGACACAGGGTAATTCATCGCTAATAATGCATGTACAAACTGTACCAATGATCATCATCAATATGAACTGACATGAAGCAATTATCCAATTTCCGTCATGGGCAGTCTATTATTCCATATAAACTCATTGACTTGTTCTTCACTAAAAGTTATTCATATACATCGATAGCATAGCCATGAACAGATTCAAAATGAACCGCTTTGCAGCTCAATAATTTGTTTGAAGACCAACTAATTTTACCAACTCGTGAAACAGACAAAGACGAAATTCGACCCACAAATAGAAAGTCAAGTGATCATGACAATACCATTCGCCACTAGCATATTGTATTGTATAGGGGATTGGTAACGCACTGACAAAACAGCATATGGCAAATCAACAGTTCGAGGACAGGAAGACATGCCAAAGTTACTGTCAGCATATATGGTCGTATTTTAAATAGTAAAAGAAAATGCAAGAATTTATTTGTTAGGATACAATATAACGCTAATATCACTATATGTGCTTCTTGTCTATGGTACTGTGTAGAGAAAGCTGCATTAGTCACTGTTAAACTTTCTGTATGTTCTAGGTTACAAAGAGGTTCCGAAGTCACCGGCCGGGAGGATTGTTGTCTGTATGTGGTTCAGCTTCATCTTCTTCATGATCATCGCCTATACCGCTAACCTCGCGGCCCTGCTGCTTGCAAGGGGCCCAAATCAACCCCTCGTTCCTTTCAAGACATTCCACGAGATGGCGGCACAAACTCTCACCCCTTATGGAACCAGGCAAAATGTACATCTGATTAACAAGCTGAGTGTTTCAAATGACCCAGTATACCGAAAGATACTGGCTTATATGAACCTCATCGACAACAATTTCCAAGATATTGGGGGTGCTATGAAAAAAATAAGAGATTCTCCTAAAGGATACGCCGCCATAGTGGAGAGTACGGAAGCCGACTACATTGCTTCTAAAAACTGTGACCTGATGGTGGTGGGAGAAACGATAGCCATTAGCCAGATTGGATTTGCATGCAGCAAGGCCACCACGGGACTGTGTAACGAACTCTCTGAGGCTATCAGGGAAATACGAGAGGCTGGGGACATGTACCTACTGTACAAAAAATGGTTCAAGAAAGGACAGTGTACGGAAACCGACTTGGACGACTATGTGAGCAGAGAGGAGACCGCCAAGATCACAGCCCGACCACTCTCGCTCGCCGACCTATCACTTGCCTTTATAGTCCTCCTGTTTGGGCTCATAGTTGGGGCGATTCTCCTAGTGGTGGAAATTCTTGTTCACAGGTACAAGAAAAAGGTCAGTGGTATAAGTTACTCCCTCGTGTATCATCAGAATTATCTCGTTTGAATAAAAAAAGATGCGTGTCTAATATGAATTATTGCTAACAAGAAAACGCCTAGTGAACCGCACATACACGTTCGATCAATACAATGTATGGATATATAGCCTATTTTATAGTGTCAATACTGTTTCTAGATACGATGTAATAGGAATTCATTCCTGAAACAAAATTTATTTGTGTGATTCTGTACTGTATGTATTTCATCACTGCTTATTATATCTGTCATTTGAAAACTGTTATCTACATATACTGTAGATGTTATTGCAATTTTCATTTCAAAATATCATTTGAATTCATATTAAACTTTAATAAACGTACTAGTCACTTTAATTCATACTAATGTTACAATATATTTGTATGTAATATGCTACCAACTGTGTATACTTTGTATAGGGAGGGTTAACATAAGCCATGCATGTTGACCCATGCCCTTGTCAGTAAACCATGGTGCTATGAAGTACAAGCAATTCTGTCTAACAGTCGATATATATTTGTTGATCTATTCATTGTAGAAGGGAAGCAGAAACATGGAGCCCGTGCGCATGACAGCTGCCAACGGACGTGGACAATCGGAGACGGACGTAAATGACGAAAGCGACAAGGCACCGATAGCAGCGGCGGAACCATGATGCACATGCGCATGTGCTGTACGACGGACAGTAAGACACAACAGCAAAGAGATCACATACAATACTCGGATCATCAACATTCTTTTATTTCAGCTTTAAGTCTGCGAGAAAGTCAAAATGATATTGTCGCCATCACACCAACTACTGTACATTATACGTGGTGGAAGAAGTAAGTTAGATACATGTATGTATTTTCCAGAACAATAATGATTTAGGGAAATCGCCAACAACGACTAATACAAATTAATTCCATGTGCTTTTTCAATTAAGAGGATGATAATATCTATGTTTATATTATTTCTAGTTTCTAACTTGATCACGAGGACCACAAAATTTCTGACACACAACCCTTCAAAACATATATAACAAACCTGTGTAGAGCTTACGTAGATATATTGTCTATCCGCTTTCGGAATTCATAAAGCACTACGGTTATAAAACATGTTAACTGAATATTTAATCTGCATGAAATTTAAAATTAGATCTATGACGGTAGATTCTGATCGATGATGTCGGAGACATAACTCAGCACTTAATTGGTTACATTTTGAAAGAATTAATAGAAGATAGAAAAATATGCTTAAACATACTAAAGGAGTCCAGGATCCGATTTGATAGACCAGGACAATTGTTGTACACGTGCATTTATGTAGGACCACTTCCATTTAAGAAAAAAATGGAAAACACGCATATCTAATGGGATAATGTCGAAGCCATCATTTGATCAAGGATGCCTTCAATGCGTTGGGACGTCATGTGTCATTCCTAAAAGGTTTTTGGAAGCGGCGAAAAAGAAATAAAAATGAAAAGGGTCTTCCAATTGTACATTGGACCCTAATTGTCTGCTGTATAGATAAACATGTTTTTATGTAATCAATGACAATGAGATTTGGTATTTTGTCAAATTCAGGTTTAATATATTAATGATAAGAAATGCTTTTTATGTGGTACATGTGTATCATTTCCTTCCCGTTTGATGTCTGTAATATCGTTGTGTATGTGTCATTATAAATACATGCTTTATAATATTCAAACCGCTGTATCTTACCTGTGTTGTCAATACAAATGTGTATTTACCTATACAAGGATATCTGCACTTGCTATGTGAAATGGTTACTGTGTTTACCTATGAAATGATTTTCGCACTTGTAATTAATAATGGTTTAAAGGACGTTTCCTTTTGCCGTCATGGATCGTTAGGCTGGTATCTCACGTTCCCAAAGATAAGGCTTGATACTGAAACGGCTGTTATACTGTGCCAATTTTGCTTAAACATCAGAAAAGTATCCCCAAAATACTGACTGGCAAGTACGATATCGGATCAGTGGAGGCTGAATAGTGTTACAACCGGATAAGATGTAGCTGGAAAGTGGAACAACAGTATAAGTGGTAGTTCGATAGTGTGACAACCGGATAATTGGTGGCTCGAAAGTAGGAAACGGTATACGAGGTAGTTTGGGTCGGACAACAGGATTAGTGGTAGTTTGATAATGGGGCATCAGGATTAGTAATTGTTCGATAGTGAGACAACCGGATAAGTGGTCGTTTGATAGTGGGACAAGCGGACTCACGTAAGTGTTGGCTCGAATGTGGGACACAGGATAAGAGGTAGTTTGATAGTGGACAACTGGATTAGTGATGGTTCAGACGTGGTGATTTGATAGTAGGACAACACGATAAGTGGTGGCTCGAAACTGAAACGACAGAATAAGTGATAGTTTGATAATGGCACAACAAGATTACTGGTGGCTCGAAACAATAGGATTAGTAGAAGTTTGAAAGTGGGGTAATCGGATAAGTGTTGGCTCGACAGTGTGACAACAGGATTAATGTCTAGTGACATGATTAGTAGTTGCTGGATAGTAGCTGACTGGATAGTCGATCGGTGGTCGGTGCTATCAGAGAAGATAGTTTTCATCTCTGTTGATCATCTGGTTAACTAAGTTTTACACTTTGACATCAATAGCATTATGTTCTATTTGCATTCATAAACTAGTTAACTGTTTAAAATACACTGCAACTTATACAAACTTGCACGTACATTGCAACTGTAACTATGGTAAATAAAACGTCTGTTGTATACAGCACAACTAATTAAAGTAGCCATCTATAAGTTTAGTTATATTAATTATATCTGCATATCGCTTGGAAAAGTCACACTGATACAGGCGAAAAGAATGAAAAGGGTAAATGAATATTGTTTGGTAAACGTATGTTACATGTGTAATCTTGAGTACAATTACCATGGTAACAATACGCCAGACTAAACCTCCTCAGTTATCATTTCTATCCACCGATCTGTCATCATCAAGTTTCATTTGCTAGGTGGTAGATATTAATTGATTGCTCGGTAGATATGTGCCCGTTTGAATCGTTATGTAGATATGGTTAGATGATGAAAACAGCACGTATCTAATTCATACAGTAATGTGTAACAGTTTTAACATCCATTGCCCGTTATCAATTTAAAACAATCTAGTTTGAAGTGTTTTAACCCTTTCATCCCCATGTAACTTAAGTAGACTCTACCATGCATTGATATGGGTTAGTCCATTATGGTATACAGTGGTGAAAGGGTTAATGACACTATGACAGGTTGACTCAATAGCAGTCACTATATTGATCGATTCAACATTTTTGAGAAGTTGTGTTCTGTTACGATATATCACGTTTTTAAATTATGTAAAAGTTAAAATATACATATATTGTAATAACCAAAGTGTCTTTGCCAGCAGAGTGTATACTATCCTATTTCTACGTTTCTAAGACGTCACGTATGCAAAAAATGTATAATTATACATATACAAGTATGTTTTGTGTAAATACACGTACATGTACAAGTATGCTTTGTGTAAACACACGTACATGTACAAGTGTCTTTTGTGTTTACACACGTACATGTACAAGTGTCTTTTGTGTTTACACACGTACAAAATATATACACATATGTTTTGAGTAAACACACGTACATGTACAAGTATGCTTTGTGTAAACACACGTACATGTACAAGTGTCTTTTGTGTTTACACACGTACAAAATATATACACATATGTTTTGAGTAAACACACGTTCATGTACACGTATGTTTTGTGTAAACTTAAGTAAATGGAGAGTGTAATAAACACACGTTCATATATGTGTAAAATAACATGTTCATTTAAAGATATGTTCAGATTTCGAAGGTGAATCAAGCGTGAGAATGTTGTTACAATAATTGATTATTAGTATGTAATATTTGTACATTACAAGTATGTATGTGTCTGTATTATACTATCAAGTGTTAACATAACATTATAAATAATTCTGCTAATAATATATTATATTATGAATCATTAGCATGGTTTCTGTAAACTACCATACAATATATACAATGTTTTTAAAGCGTCGTAATTTTTGGCAGACTATTTTAAAATAACCATCCAAGTACATGATAGACCTGTTACTAATCACTGTAATTCCAGTAAATATGTCACGCATGCTTTTAAAAAATGAATAAAGTTATGAAACAAAATTATATATTTTATTAAAACGCTTTCAAGAACATTACTGTCAGATAATGCACTGAGATACGGATTTATATATTATATGTTGGTGATACTTACAACGTACATTTAGTCCACACTCTTTACCTATCTGTTATACGGTAATCCTACACGGACTTATGTATACACTCTTATCCTTGTTAATGATGCCTGTACATGCACTACTATAGATTTAAAAAAAAATCCATATGCTGACCACAACAAACACCAAAACAGTTGGTCATTTTTATTCTATAAATAGATCATTGTTGATTCAGTGTGATGAGTAAGACATGATGTAGTTGTATGTGAACCAGCTGATAATAAAGTCTTTCCAGAGATCGATACTATCATGGTTCAGCGATATCTCTAGCGTTGCTCTTGATCACTTCTGATGTGGTTCATTTGTTCAGAAAAAAGGCGACGCTATTATTTGCAATACTGTTATAAGGAAACAATTCAAAACACTTCCTTGAACATACAGTTTTGTGTGATATTATTTCCTTAAACTTAATACTACCGTTGATATCCGGGTACTTCACACAAGGTCGTCAGCAGAATATTTTAAGTGCATACATGTTTTAACCTATAGATAAGTATAGCATAGGAAACTGTGTCCTAGTGCTTCAGTACTGAGTAATAGGGCGCGTTTTTACAAGTTTACTAAACACACATGATACAGTGTGTAATTGTGTTTGAAATATTCCATACATTTGGTAATAAACGCTGTTAGAACATCACAGTTTAACCCATTTACATCACAAATATTCGATACGTTATATAAGTGTGCGAAAACATCACGTTATGACTCTTTTCTGTCACAAATATTCGATACACTGTAACTTTGCTAAAACGTAACATTTGAACTCATTTACATCACGAATCTCGAAAACATTAGGTAACTGTGTTACATTACAACATGTATCATGGACATCACACTTCATCGTCGAGTGGTGTAACTGCACACTTGACATAATCTAGATACAATGTATACCTTTTTACTACAACTGCTTATTATTCAACAGTGTAGACTGAACGACCAGTTTGCTATGTTATCACGAAAACAGACCGATCTCAAGAGCTCCCTATTAACATATCTTATGTGTAAAATGGCACTCCAGTACAATATGCTCTGATATGTATAACATATAAACAACGTGATCAATGATGCATTAATGAAACAAGATTCATAAAAAAGTGAACATATTTATCACGTGGCTACAAATATATCTGCTTATGACGTAGTGATCACGCCCATTTAATATTTTCTGCGAAACAACTCATGGCATATCCCCACTGTGACGTCATAATTGGGATAATTGACATGATGTCATGACATTGTGACGTTAATGTCACAAACAAATAACACAATAAAAAGTAAAAATAAAGACGTGAATAGCGCAGGTCGGAGATGAAGAAATGTTTTGTTCTTCAATGTATATATTGTTGTGAATATTTATTGACATACTTGGTTATTTTATAAGAAAATAATGAAAATACTACGTACTGTATAACCTCGCTAAATCGAAAACACTTATACTCGTTTCTGAATCTCACATGAATGTAACTCATTTAAGACCTTTTGTTTATAAAACCTAAATACATATTGGCAAAAATAAGATGAAATTGAGAAACAATTGATAACACAATGTTCAGCAAAATATAAGGATAAAATCGGAAATCATAAGTCGATAAAGAAATACTATTAACATAAGAAAACGGAGAATTCGTACGGAAACGAGGTCATAGTAACGACTGTTTACGTTTTCCAGCATTGCAGCGCTATGTCACTATTAAAATGGATGAGACAGGTATGTTATTATAGAGGATGGAAGGCTTTTATTGTATTACTACGAATGGGAGGCTGGTATGTTACTATTGAGGGGACGGTGATAGACACTTACTGAGAAGGAGAGGCTGGTATGATACTATTGAGGGGAAGATGATGGGCACTTACTGAGAAGGAGAGGCTGGTATGTTACTATTAAGGAGGGGAAGATGATGGACACTTACTGAGAGGGAGAGGCTGGTATGATACTATTGAGGGGACGATGATGGACACTTACTGAGAAGGAGAGGCTGGTAAGGTTTCTATTAAGGAGGGGAAGATGATGGACACTTACTGCGAGGGAGAGGCTGGTATGATACTATTGAGAGGACGATGATGGACACTTACTGAGAAGGAGGGGCTGGTATAATACTATTGAGGAGGGGACGATGATGGACACTTACTGAGGAGGAGAGGCTGGGATGGTACTATTAAGGGGGGGAAGATGATGGACACTTACTGAGAAGGAGAGGCTGGTGTGTTACTATTAAGGAGGGGAAGATGATGGACACTTACTGAGAAGGAGAGGCTGGTATGATACTATTGAGGAGGGGAAGATGATGGGTACTTACTGAGAAGGAGAGGGTGGTATGTTACTATTGAGGGGGGGAAGATGATGGACACTTCCTGAGACGGAGAGGCTGGGATGTTACTATTTAGGAGGGGGAGATGATGGGGACTTACTGAGAAGGAGAGGCTTGTATGTTACTTTTGAGGGGAAGATGATGGGCACTTACTGAGAAGGAGGGGCTGGGAAGGGTTCTTTTAAGGAGGGGGAGATGATGGGGACTTACTGAGAAGGAGGGGCTGGGAAGGGTTCTTTTAAGGAGGGGAAGATGATGGGCACTTCCTGAGAAGGGTGGCTGGTATGATACTATTGAGGGGAAGATGATGTGTACTTACTAAGAAGTAGAGGCTGGTGTGATACTATTGAGGAGGGGACGATGATGGACACTTACTGAGAAGGAGAGGCTGGTAAGGGTTCTATTAAGGAGGGGGAGATGATGGGCACTTACTGAGAAGAGGCTGGAATGTTACTATTGAGGAGGGGGCGATGGCACTTACTGAGAAGGGGAGGCTGGGATGTTACTATTGAGGAAGGGAAGATGATGAGCACTTACTAAGAAGTAGAGGCTTGTATGTTACTATTAATGAGGGGACGGTGATAAGTACTTACTGAGAAGGAGAGGCTGGGATGTTACTATTGAGGAGGGGACGATGGCACTTACTGAGAAGGAGAAGCTGGTGTGTTACTATTAATGAGGGGACGGTGATAAGTACTTACTGAGAAGGAAAGGCTGGTATGTTACTATTGAGGAGGGGACGATGGCACTTACTGAGAAGGAGAAGCTGGTGGGTTACTATTAAGGAGGGAAATATGATGGGCACTTACTGAGAAGGAGAGGCGGGTATAATACTATTGAGGAGAGGAAGATGATGGGCACTTACTGAGAAGAGGCTGGAATGTTACTATTGAGGAGGGGACGATGATGGGCACTTACTGAGAAGGATAGGCTGGGATGTTACTATTGAGGAGAGGGAGATGATGGGCACTTCCTGAGAAGAGGCTGGGATGTTACTATTGAGGAGGGGACGATGATGGGGATGATACTATTGAGGGGAAGATGATGAGCACTTACTGAGAAGAGGCTGGAATGTTACTATTGAGGAGGGGACGATGATGGACACTTACTGAGAAGGAGAGGCTGGTATGTTACTATTGAGGAGAGGAAGATGATGGGCACTTCCTGAGAAGAGGCTGGAATGTTACTATTGAGGAGGGGAAGATGATGGGTACTTACTGAGAAGGAGAGGCTGGTATGTTACTATTGAGGAGGGGAAGATGATGGACATTTACTGAGAAGGAGAGGCTGGTATGTTACTATTGAGGAGAAGGCGATGATAGGCACATACTGAGAAGGAGAGGCTGGTATTTACTATTGAGGAGGAGACGATGATGGGCACTTACTGAGAAGAAAAGGCTGGTATGTTACTATTGAGCAGGAGACGCTGATTTGAACCTGCTGAGGAGGGGACGCACTAATGTTACTATTAAAAAGGGGAGGTAGGTTCATGTATGAGTACTATTAAGGAGAGAAAGTTTACATGCTATTACCTCGAATGGGAGGCTGGTATGTTACTATTTAAAAGAAGCGCCTAGTAAGATACAACTGAGGTGGAGGGAATTTAAAATTGTTACTTATGATGACGGGAGGCTTGATGGTTACATATATTACAACGAAAAGGAATTATTACGGTCGGAAAATGTAAGTCGTTTGTGAAGAAATATTGTGGTAGACTGTTCAGATATGACACTGACGAAGAGTCATTGGTGATGTTATGAGAGTCCTCGCCATTCGTGACATTCAAGGACAAAATGCTTATCATTCTTAAATACCCATGTGTAGATATGATGCCTCACAAGAGTATAGAGAGAGATGCCTACAAGTGGTGCACTTTCAGTCTAATTGACACAACGAAAAACAATTAATAATTGAAGTACTGCTTTAAACTCCATCAGGAAAACAATATATATGTACAAACAAAAAGTAAAATGCGTACACAACATTAGACGGTTATTGACATCGAAATGCTGGTTCAATTGTTTTGATATCTAAAGTTTACATATGGAATGAGACCTAAAGTTTATATGCTAATAAGTAGTTTTGATCAGTTAGGAGGGATTGTATTTGATTTGTTCAACCATCAAGGTAACGTACTAAATAAAAACGTGTACTGTGTTTTTCGGATAAGGAACCCTTTATCCGATACTGATAAAATAACATCACATGGCAGTTTCTGTCTGTCAAACAAACGTCACAAAACAGTACATGCACACGTAACACAAAATAATAAAATGAGCCTGTATCGTGTACATCAAATATGCTTTATACATGTACCATACCTATATCATACCTGTATTATAATGATATAATGTCTATATTATATCAGTATACCTGCTACATGAATCCATCTGTAGCGTAAATGGAACATGAAATAACATGAGCGAAAAGTGTCCACATTACAAGTAGCGTGTTGGCTAAAATCATAAAACGATATAGTGATGTACCACTGGGAAAAGATTGACACTACATTTCCCAACAAAACAAGACATGGACACACCGTACGTGTATTGCTGAAACATTTCTCATACACTTACACAGAAGTGCTGACACCATGCACCACAATATTTAAACGGTGCTCGCAGAAATTTAATGCCTCGATGATCCCATATGAGGTTTTTAACATTACGATAAATGTGTTTTGTATATGTATAAGAGTATTTTAAATCAACCTTAATCAGAATCGTAATACTCTGAAGCAAGGCTAAAATTTCGGAATTTTTGTCCGCCGTTGTTTCTTTTCCTTAGTGTGATCGGTGACATGCCTGAATCATTTTGGTCTATTGATATCGGATCACCGGTTGCCCATGGCAACATATTTTCAAGTCCTGTTTCCATGATGTGGTCATAAGCCTCGTCCCTGTTCAGGATACCGCCGAAGATAAATGTCTGCAAAATAAAGACGAGATATTATCCAGAAATAACATGAATAGCTTCCTTTCTTCAAATTTTATAGAACAGGATATGCTTGTGACTCCTACTTATGTATCTCGTCGTTCATCATTAACAAAATGGTCAACGAGTTCATAATGTGGTTTTTGTTTCGGAATACATGCATACCAGTAGGAACAGGTATATCAGCCTATCAGAAGAGCATGATACCAGTAGGAACATGTATAGAAGCCTATCAGACGAGCGTGATACCAGTAGGAAAATGTATAGCAGCCTATCAGAAGAGCATGATACCAGTCATGATACCAGTAGGAACATGTATAGCAGCCTATCGGACGAGCATGATACCAGTAGGAACATGTAAAGCAGCCTATCAGACGAGCATGATACCAGTAGGAATATGTATAGCCGCCTATCAGACGAGCGTGATACCAGTAGGAACATGTTTAGCAGCCTATCAGACGAGCTTGATACCAGTAGGAACATGTATAGCAGCCTATCGGACGAGCATGATACCAGTAGGAACATGTAAAGCAGCCTATCAGACGAGCATGATACCAGGAGGAACATGTATAGCAGCCTATCAGACGAGCATGATACCTGTAGGAACATGTATAGCAGCCTATCAGACGAGCATGATACCAGAAGGAACTTGTATAGCAGCCTATCAGAAGAGCATGATACCAGTCATGATACCAGTAGGAACATGTATAGCAGCCTATCAGACAAGCATGATACCAGTAGGAACATGTATAGCAACCTATCAGACGAGCATGATACCAGTAGGAACATGTATAGCAGCCTATCAGACGAGCATGATACCAGTAGGAACATGTATAGCAGCATATCAGAAAAACATGATACAATGTATTTATTGTCCATAAAACGACATTTTAGTAAGTCAGTTATTAGACGGAATACAAATTTCTATTTTAGATATCAACCCGTTCGGCATGTTTGTTTGGAAACCAAAGTTGAACGCGAGGTAACAGGATGATCACGTGACCTTTTTCCTGATGACCGCAAAAGAAATTTAGAGCGTTTTCTTCACTCGACAGACAGAGATGAATACCAGACATATATCATATGGCTCGTGAAGCCCAAACGTACTCCTGCACAAGTGTGGCACAGTGTAGTCACGTCGTAGTGGCTCCTGAAGCCCTAACGTACTCATGTACAAGTGTAGCACAGTGTAGTCACGTCGTAGTGTCTCGTGAAGCCCTTACGTACTCCTGTACAAGTGTAGCACAGTGTAGTCACGTCGTAGTGTCTCGTGAAGCCCCAACGTACTCCTGCACAAGTGTGGCACAGTGTAGTCACGTCGTAGTTGCTCGTGAAGCCCTTACGTACTCCTGTACAAGTGTAGCACAGTGTAGTCACGTCGTAGTGGCTCGTGAAGCCCTAACGTACTCCTGTACAAGTGTAGCACAGTGTAGTCACGTCGTAGTAACAGTGTTGTTGGGTCATTCCTATGTTTAAAAGTGACACAATATGTGACGTCACAGTGTTGTCACATTATGTCCCATTCGTATCAGTGCATATAGGTACGGATGTCATATTGTAATGACAATGTCGTTCATCTGTGCACGTGCATTACAGTAGCTTTACGTATAGTCCCCGTTCGTACAGGTTTATAATGGCGGTAACTCAAGTTTAAAATGTATCAATGGTCCGATTTTATGGAATAATACCTTTCCTGATATTTTGTTAGTTGTTGTTCCGAGTAAACAATTTGTCGTTCTGTATTTAACTTAACAAAGTAATATGATTGTACCGCACCATTTGATTCATGAAAGTAAACATAAACTAAACTAATACCTCAATAGTCAATACAAAAGTATACCAACAGGAACTGAGGAGACACCAAAACACCAAAATAAGTTAACAGACATCTTTTACTCCGAATAAACGAAGATGGAACCAGGCCTTACGGCAACAACGTGTGACAGCCGTAGACGCGGTGATATCTCATACAGATTAACAGCTGCGGTGATGTCTGGAAAAGACTTACAGGCGCGGTGATGTCTGGAACAAACATACAGACGCGATGATATCTCATACAGATTTACAGACGCGTTGATATCTGCAACAAACAGACTTACAGACGCGGTGATATCTTAAACAGATTAACAGCCGCGGTGATATCTGAAACAGACTAACAGAGGCGATGATATCTGGAACAAACTTACAGAGGCGATGGTATCTAAAACAGACTTACAGACGCGGTGATATATCGAACAGACCTATGGTGAAACCTGAAACAGACTAACAGACGCATTGGTATCGGGCATCGACAATCAGGTGGGCATATACCCGTCAAAGTTCTTATAAATGACTGACTAACGGACCATTACTGCTGATATTAGCGAAGAGCGATGACTCATTGATAAATTCCAACGGAGGAGCCGATATGGCGGAAAGACTTCGGATTTCTCTAAAGCGGGAAGACGACTTACAGACTCTCGCTTGTCTCGCTCATTAGATGTATCACGGTGACGCACCGATTATTGTAGTACAATTACCACGGGATTAATAACTACAATATATTGTCTTCTCACACGCTCACACAGCTGTTGGTTTTGATTCGAAAATGTGTTCGGTGAACATAATTTGACAGCTTAACAGAGTAGCAATTCTATACGGACTCATTCAATTTCGAACAGACGAAATACTTTACACCTTGTATATATTAGAGCCGCTCTTACGATATGAAATCTAATCGTATTCCAACAGACCCAGTTTACAAATGTAATTATCAGTGTGGACTGTTTTGTTAGATAATGTCTCACCTTGTTTCCAGTCACTACCACTTCCATCGCCATTCCATTTCCAGGAAGAAAACTGTATGGCTTGCACTGTAAAATAGAAATACTTATAATGTATGACATACAATGTAAAATTGATCCATCGATACTCTACGACTAACATCTCATACACCGATATATCACCATACATCATACACCATAATATCAATACACCGATAATGTATTATTGAAGGATTTTACGGTAACATCGGTACATAAAATTTGTATGGTCTAAAATAAAATCGATACATCAAGATTTAACAGATTATACAGTAAAATTAATACACCAATAATGTAAGGTATACACTTTAAAATCGATACACGAATAACGCACGATCATCACTGTAAACCGATACACCAATATCGTAGGAACTAACTGTACAATCGATACGCCAATAATGTAAAGCTTAGACAGCTAAATCGATACACCGATACACCATGCAAATAATGACACAACTGTTGGTCATTTGATATTAATTAGAAAATCGTAGAATGAACTAGGAGTACAAACAATAAATAGAAATAAACATATATTTATATAAATGAACTACAGCCACGATTCTGCGATACGAAAACAACAACCAAGCACACGTCAAAAAGACATCATGACCTTTTACCTTGTCTATCAGGATATGATATTAATAGCGTCCTAGACATTCACGTTTCAATGAAGACACAGTTAATGCGATGTACTTTCATTGGTAAAATTTGAAGAGTTCGTATTCTGTTATTAATTAAGATAATCACCCGATAAATGGCAGAGGGAAGGATTGGTAGAAGCAAGATAGCAACGGTTCAGCATACAAACACAATGACCTTAATGTGGATTTGCTATACCAAATGCTAGAAACAAATCATTATAAAACACCTTCCTTGTGACACGAAGCGTATCTTGTTGAAATAAACAAACAAAACATATATCAAGGAGAAAGCAGAAACATGTGCAACGCCATATTAAGGAGGCTCCAGTTTCAAATTTAACCAGCAAAATTGTTGCAAATTTCATATATTGTTTATGCAATTATGTAGAGTTGATTTTATGAAAATCTAAGCATTCTGATAGTTTGGGGACTTTTTGGGAGAAAATACCAAAAAAACACCTTTTCGTCAATTTTCATATTTTCGTTGTTTTTTTATGACTCTACAAATATTTTATTTATCGCAAAATATATAAAACACGTTACACAATTTTTCTTTTATTGAAATTGTACGGATAAAAGTATTTATCTACAAGCTAAAAACAAACAATACACAAAGATTCATGCATAAAGAGTAGGTAATTGAACAAAATAAACACCATGGCTTTATAATTAATTTATTTCACATTTTTACAATCACTTTAGTCCTGGTGTGAGATTTCTTTCTTGAAAAAACCCCGGAACGTTTTGCAGAGGGATAAAATTTACACAATGACAGTTATCTCATTTTACATATATCAGAAGTGATGGAAATAAATTAAAATTATAATATCAAAATTTTCAACTTAATTTTCTATTGGAACCAAATTACTCTCGGTCATGGACACTTTGGACATCATTCCAAAGCCCGCTAACGCACGGTATATCAACATGTCAGGTACATAATTATGTGACCAGAAGCTATCGCATGGTATGCCTTTCTAACATGCACCCACCCAGGCATTTTCATAGGGATATTGATATTATACAAAACACTATTTTCACAGAGGAAGTGTACCGCATTTGTAAAAATGATTTCATCGACAGAGCGAAACTCGCTCAACAGCGAAAATCGTAACGACATCAAGCTGCTTGTGGACTCGTGTAAGCACGTGATATGCACATGTGAAGTCGGTACACAAATCACATCAGTCCGCATTCCATGCATTTCATATGTGACCTTCTTGAAGTCGTCTGGTCTCATGTAAGTGTCTTCCCGTGAGTCACTTTATGTCTTTGTATTCGAGCTTTATTCCTTAAGTACGTGTGATTACACATTTCCCAACAAAATCTCAATATTGGGTGTTGACATATCATCGTCACGCACGTGTACTATTGTTTACCAGGTGTTACTATAATTTACACTACGATATTGAAATGCCCGATGCGCAAAACAGATATGACGACACGGTGTACATGCATATTTCGTTCGAGATAATTGAGTCCGAGTTGTAGTTTTTCCGGAAAAACGTCACGAAAATGGACACTGATGACGTTGTGTAGAGCCACCTTAAACATTTACTTGTGAATCACATAGGCTTAGTTTGCGCAAACCAACTCGACCTATTATCTAACTACAATAATGTTAAAGTTATCACCCCTGTGTTTCAGAAAGAACAAATCTGCGGTCAATGTTAATATTTGCAAGGAACCTTACTTAACGCAAGCAGAACACTAGATAAGTCCACGAACGTTTTACAGACATACTAGTACAACAAACTCCCTTTCATTTTACTTCACAATTTTACTGAAAAAACTTTACTATTATTACATCTTTTTATTTCACCATAAAAGTTCTGTGTTATATTCATCAATTATATAATGATGTTCCTCATGCCACGATAAAATTTGTTAAACACATTACGTTTTGTCTACACAAAGATTTAACAGACATACACCATTACTAAGAGATGCCGTTATTTTCCGAACACTTGTTTCAGTTCTCGTTGCCCTAGCATTCTCATTTCTTGAAAACAAAATGCTATCGTGTGGGAAGGTACATATTAAAAACTAAGTTAGACCAAACCACCAAGTATTTACTGAACCTACAGACCAAACCACCAAGTATTTACTGAACCTACAGATCAAACCACCAAGTATTTACTGCACAACGACTAAATAGTCGATGTCCATTTAAATGTCTTCATTTTTTTCATTTCATTTCAACAGATAGTATTGACATGGTGTTATGGTCAAATGGATCGAATAACAGGCAAGCCTAAGACTTTTGGAAATTAGAACACACATACTACCTCATACAGTGTATTGGATGAAAGCAGGCAAAACACATAATTGATGGTATAGTATTGGTATATAGAAAGTATGTTGATATATTGTACAGGAAATATGGGATTCTACACAATGACGTTTGTGACTTTATCAAAGTCAAACTCGACGATAAAAACTATATTTTCTATTATTATCCATATATTATACAGGTTTACACTATTATTGTCCATATATTGTACAGGTTTACACGAGTATTGTCCATATATTGTACAGGTTTACACTATTATTGTCCATATATTGTACAGGTTTACACTAGTATTGTCCATACATTGTACAGGTTTACACTAGTATTGTCCATATATTGTACAGGTTTACACTAGTAGTGTCCATACATTGCACAGGTTTACACTAGTATTGTCCATACATTGTACAGGTTTACATTATTATTGTCCATATATTGTACAGGTTTACATTATTATTGTCCATACATTGTACAGGTTTACACTAGTATTGTCCATACATTGTACAGGTTTACACTATTATTGTCGATATATTGTACAGGTTTACACTATTATTGTCCATATATTGTAAAGGTTTACACTATTATTGTCCATATATTGTACAGGTTTACACTAGTATTGTCCATACATTGTACAGGTTTACACTAGTATTGTCCATACATTGTACAGGTTTACACTAGTATTGTCCATATATTGTACAGGTATTAGGATTGTCCACATATTGTACAGGTTTACACTATTATTGCCAATATATTGTACAGGTTTACATTATTATTGTCCATACGTTGTACAGGTTTACACTTACCTTTTGGAATTTGACAATATCTGTTAATGGAATAACTATATTCTTCGGCGACGGAGACGTTTTCCTTTCAAAACAAATAAAACTGAAAGGGAACATAAGAGTCTTACTTGATATATATATATATTACGATAGTGTTTTGATATATCTAGCAATAACTCTATTAATACACCTGACATAGAAAAGTCATTAGAATTCCAAAGACATCAATTACATTTCTCAATATGTTGTAATATGAATTTTATATGAAAATTACGTATTAAACGTTGGTTGCAATGGTCAAATAGGGCGTTTTGTAAGACTCGATTAATTTTTGCGTGACAAATTCACAACAAAAATATCATACTGAATGTTTATTACTGGTCATCTTTTGCAGGATTAGACCGCATTTGGCGTAAAATCGTAACTACAATCACCTTCTGAGTAATAAATCAACTACGCAAAGGCGATTTTGAAAACTACATATGTATTTCACCTCTTGTGTAATAATTCACTCACCCAAGGGTAATTTACTCAGACTATTACAACGTTTGAGTAGTAATTCTCTCACACATGTGTCATTTACTCAGACTACATGTATTACAACTTTTGTGTAATAATTCTCTCACACATGCGTCATTTACTCAGACTACATGTATTACAGCTTTTGTGTAATAATTCTCTCACAAAATTGTCATTTACGCAGACCAATACACCTTTTGTGTAATAATTCACTCACAAAAGGGTTATTTACTCAAACTATAATCTGCATCACCTTTTTGTGAGATAAATCTTGCCATTCTTCAATCCTGCTGCAAATGCCTTGTCTTTATTTATCAATGTACATCGTCGACCACCTTTCCAGCCTGACAAAATGACAAGAGGATTATTAGCAATGAAACATTGATGTATTTCTCTTTTGGTTTGATGTCTTCTCCATTCATGTTATTGTCTTTATGTATCGAGTTTTATTTCTAACTTGTTTGTGACTACAAACTACCCTATTGCCGTGGAAACTGTCGGAGGGAGTGATAACCGTTAATGGACAAGCACTTCAATGAGCAAAAATGTCAGAGTGTGCGTTAACGTTTCTGGGAAAAACTCTGAGGAGGAAACATATTGTCGGGGTCAGAAATAACAATTCACAGACTGGCCTGGTATAGGGTTTGATTGTTCGGTGAGAGGGGAAGGAGATGGAAGGAGGGGCACATAAGTCACCGCCTTCGACCAATCTGTTTGGATAGTATGGTCTATTCTTTTCCTGAGCCAGTCCAGCAGAGAAAGAAACGTTCATAAATTAGCCTGGTATGGGGATACTGTCGGAGAGATACATAAGCGTTTACAGATTGACATGGTGAAGGCGATTATATCGGAGGGAGTGATAACAATTTAAAGACTGGCATGTTAATTAGATTAATATGTCGGAGGGAGTGAATTCATAGACTTACCTGATAAAGGGGATTCCGCCAGGGGGAGTGAAAACAGTTCACAGAACTGCTTGTCTTGGTTTGTAATTTCCGTTTCACAGCCTTCTAGCTCACTCCCTGACTCCACAAATACGTACTGGAATGAAAACAATTAATGGTATAATTGTGACATTACGAAACGGTGTGGAAAGCTAAAATATCATTGTATAGCGGAAAATCTCAAATTCATTGCTCCACTGCCTAACATTATTAGCCTTATCCAATACTTATTTATAATTAAAAGTCAATTCAAAATTGTATCTTCATTTAGACTTCCAAAAATGATTATTGTGCTCATATGAGTATTATGCTATTTTTTAAAACAATCCTGTACAAAACACTTCATGTAACTACATGAAGACGAGCTAAAACAAATAAATAATTCACACACATACATTTCCGTTCAAGTCGCTAAGAATTTGTGCTACAGCCAAGGAAAGGTATGACATAAATTACACAGCTCGTGCATAAAAACAAGAGACTGCCGTCAACAAACCCGTAATTTGACCTCAAAATTGATAAAATTGAAGCAAAATATTAACAGCAGGGAGATTTAAGTGTCGATCCTTGAAAACTTGGAAAAAAATAGGGCAAGATATTTAGGAAATGTTAGTGTTTTCTGCTTCATCAATAACACCGCCATGTAAATCTATGTCAAATCCAAGTCATGCCACATCCCCATAACGAAAACCGATATTATATGGAAACAAATCGACGGTCATATCTCACAAAGAAATAACATATTTCTCGTTGAGATCATGATAGAGAACAGAGACTACATCAACCTCTAACTTTCGAAAACCCTTGTTGTAAGCTTGTCCATAAGAAGTCTATCACAGAAATCATGAAAACATTACCTGAAAACCTACATATCTTACTTTGGTTAGCTCTGTTTTTATACACTCCTGTTGATACTGCGCGTCTGTCGGCAGAGACATCCAGATCTTGTACGATGAATCATACTTCCTTTTGATTCGTGGATACTTGTTGTAGAAATAGTTAATGATGAATAACTTCACTCCAAATGCTAATCCTAAACGTACAAAAGGCATGTGTGAATAAGATAAAGCTATAAAGAAACAAATATAAACTTACATCGATATGAAAAATATTTTTATTACAACAATATATTTTGTCTTATTTCAAAACATTTCATTCATTTCATTCCAATTTAATATTCTACTAATCGTGCACAAGGATTTTTTTAAATATCTAAATGACATAAACTTTCATTCGTAGTTGAAGTGACAGGAGTAGAAAACAGATGGATAATGGGATACTTTTGACTAAAAGAGGAGAAACCAATCACATCCTCGTAAACATCACGTTCATGTAGGTAGTGGAACATAGCAGTGGCGCATATATCAAACATATTCTACTTTATATTTTTATTGTATATAAACAAAAGCGGAGAAGCTAAACAACAGAAGAATTCAATTATTATTTTCAATATATCACCATACTAGGGTGTATGATACATTCGTAGATATACTTATGTTACATATTTTGTTATAAGACAGTACGACTTCAACGACAATAAATGCATGGTTACATACATGTACCTTCAAACAGTTTGAAATACACTGTGAATTCTGTTACAAAACTTCGTATTTTAAGACGGTGAAAAACGCGATGAAGTACTTCAAAGTTGTACGAAATACACAGACAATTTTGTCATATACTTCCACGATTTAAGACACTAGGGACTACAATGTGTAGTTACATGTACCTCTACATTTAGGACATAAAGACCAGGATTAAAACACACGATGACATACCTCCAAGTTTGAAGAGATACAGGGACGGTAAGAAGCAGGACAATATGAAGACAAACATCAGTCCGTTGAATAGTTGCCGTGTAGCTTGATGTCGCCATGTCAGTAAACTGTGCAAATATAACAGGAATAAGGAACATACACATATATACCAAATCTATATAATACTTTAATACTTAAGTAACATATCATATATACCAAATCTATATAATACTTTAATACTTAAGTAACATATCATATATACCAAATCTATATAATACTTTAATACTTAAGTAACATATCATATATACCAAATCTATATAATACTTTAATACTTAAATAACATATCATATATACCAAATCTATATAATACTTTAATACTTAAGTAACATAAGTTTAGTGTGTTCATATCATTTGATGACTATCAAATGACTGCTTTATCAATTAGTGTAGAACAATAAAAACAAAGTGAGATATGGCTCACATTATTATACTATATATTAAAACAATAATCAAAATTTGGATTAATAAAATAATTGAAAACGTGAAACCGGATGATTCTGATAGAAAAGACTGAATGCGTCTAATTCTTTTTTTTTCTCTTAAAGGTTCACATTATCCCCTGTTAAACAATCATCTATGGTAACTCCGAGAAGGTCTTCATCATTTATGATTCTTTTTTAACATCATTAATAAAAACAGACAATTACTCGGTTTGTCTCCCTATAAAATTTATTTATACATATACATGTGTCGACGTCTCTGCCGTAGTAAAATGAAGTGGGATTTTATCCTGTGTCTATCAAACATGCACAAGGGCGTTGTTTTTTCTGATTAACTTTTAACGATCTATTAAGTCGATGTTAAATAAAGGACCTTAATTTCAGTCTAATGTGTTGATGTTAGTTTGTTTTCATCACTATGGTTGTGGCTGTACTCGCATTGATTAACAAACACTAATCAAACCACAATTATGATCATTATTTTAGATATGTACCCTACGTATCAAAATTAATATACACCAACCTTTTGATTTTTTCGAGGCTATCAGCAGCATCTTTTAGACCATTCTGAGATGTAAAAAAAGACATCATATCTAGACTGACGTTTTCATCTTATTGAAATATGTCTATATATGGGTAATGATCGAGGCAATTACATAGTATGTTTTACAAACACATTCGACTGAAATGTGCTCACTAGGAATATACACCTGAACCAATATCAACAAGTCAGAGGACGTATGTAACTATTACTGAACACAGAACTCCTTTATATAACAACGCCAACACACATCAAACAAGCAAAAAACATCACGAATTGAGGTGATAATTATGGAATCGTATTTTACAACTGAAATGTTCGTATTTCCTTATATACTATTTTAAAATTAGATTATATACAGAATCTAAGGGAAATGTTATGAAATTAGTGATATGTATTTCATAATTATAACATTTACATACCTAGCATATTTTATGTGAATATTCATAATGTATTTTACAATGTACTTGTATTTTAAAAGCTTTCTGTAATAAGGGTATCCCAATTGTAGTGTTAAAGTATTTGAAAACAAGAGGCCCATTAACCTTAACGGTACACCTGCGTTAAAAATAACTATTACCAGTTACAGAGAATACAATTATAACAAAATATGTCTTCTTGATTGTGGATTTGCTTTTACAATATGGTGTTTGGGAGTGACAAACATTGACATAAAGCAAGTAAATATCAGTTAAATGATAAAGTGATACTGCCATAAAGTTAAACGTACCTCCTAAAGAGAGAATAGTTATACTGCAAATCATATAATAATTCCGACCAAGTTTCAACTACTTCCCACTACAAATCAACAAAAAATACAGAAGAATGCCAATTCCCTATATATACAATAATAAACATTACCCCTGCACAGTTGGGGGGGGGGGGGGGGGGGGGGGATTGAATTAGTGACCCAGGAGAACAGAAATTCACAAATTTGATAAAGCAACTTTCTATCCTGAAAGAGGAATTTTATTCTACCATATCTTGGTCTAAGGTTGTTGAAATTTTAGCCAATTGACCACTTGTGCTTCCGCCGCATAGGCCCTTTGAAGGTGAGACCGATTTCCAGTATAATTCTGATCCCACCTTAAGTTTCACCAAAATCTAACAGATATTTTCTGGAAAGAAGTCGAAATACGATTGTTTCAGGTTTTATACTTAGTGACCCCATATTATCCCCCTGATAGTCAGCCCCAGCTCGAGTATAGCTTCTGACACCACCTCAGACTGATGATTACCACTAAGTGTCATCAAAACCTGACTGACGCTTCTGAGGAGAAGTCAAAAATCTGTCCGTTATGTATGACGGACAAAAGGCGATCGCAATGAAAATAATATCTACCAGCAAACGATATCAGTATGAACATGTTCTGCTTGTTAAAAATAGAACCCTGATGTAATAGAGGAATGCTAGACAAAGTGTATGGACAAAGAAAATGTTTTCTCACCTGAACTTTCCTTGCTACTTGTAACACCAGATTAAACTTGTCTGATATCCCCAAACTCTCCTCCGGCTGCTTGGGGGAAGATGAAAGTTAATTCAACGTTCATATAAATATACATGAATAAAGAGATTTCATGAAATTATGTAAAACTAGCCATCGTTATCTGACTCAGCGTTTATAGCTATGTTTATTGATATGGTTTAGTAGTTAATAAGTTTAAAACAATTCTTTCACCATTTAGTGTTTAACTATCATTCAAAAATAAATATTACAGAAACAAATCACAAATCGTTATTGCATTTGTAGTGAAATACCTTTTCGGATTCTTTGCCAGAATCAAAGTAGTTGAAAGTTAGTTTGAAGCCACTGAAACAAAAGTCAATACAGTGTAGCTTATCGGCGCCACAGTAAAAACAATGTGTGTATGTTTCGGTATCAAACCCCTATGTCCTTCTGCCTGGTAAGTTGTAGCTATGTCCGCCGACTGTCCTTGTTTGGAATACATACAGCAGCAATAATGCAATTTCTAAAGTGATCGTCAAAACCGGACAGCATCATGCATACACTAATATAACATTAACACAACTAATGCAATATAACAGATCATCACGATTCCAGGTATAAAGGTATACTCGTTTAGTACATGTACATTACAGGCGACACAGGGACCGTAAAGGAACGCACTTCATATCATCGACATTCCAAGGGATACGCTCTTATACGTCCTCTCCAACCATTGATTATATCATAGCGAAAACGAGGCTTCTATTCGCGCCACCTTTTGGTTGATACAAAAAGACTAGCTTGAAATTTTGAAGAAAAATAATCGGGTGCATTACAGTGGTATTGGCTGATTCCTTTGTATTTTTTAAAGATTAGGTACATCGTATCAGCGAAGTGGTTATTCAGATTTGTTTTACCGGATCCAATCAAATAGCTATCAGCGTGCCTTCGAATTTGCCATGACATATTTCAGGGTTGCAAAACACACTAGTGAGTGTAACCCATCGAATGTCCACTATGTATTCGTATGAATATTTCATTGTTACAAAATCAGGCGGCCAAACATATATACAAATCGCCTGTTGTGTTCTTGAAATATGTACGTGAATAAAAAAAGATACATTGATATTAGTTATGGAAAAAAATACTTACTGGTGTTGCAAGTAGGTAATAAACAGCCTACAGAGAAGCAGGATGACGACAACAGGGAGGAGCCAGCCCTTCCACGCTGTGTACATATATATCTACAACATGAATATAACATTTTGTGTAGAAACATACCAACAACTTTAATATTATCAAAAACATAAGCCATTTACACTGAACAAAAATAATATCTACAATATATATCATACCCATAGCACAGACCATCTACAATATATATCATGCCCACAGCTCAGATCATCTACAACATATATCATACCCACAGCACAGACCATCTACAGCATATATCATACCCCCAACACAGACCATCTACAATATATATATCATACCCCCAACACAGACCATCTACAATATATATCATCCCCACAACACAGACCATCTACAATATATAACATACCCACAACACAGACCATCTACAATATATAACATACCCACAACACAGACCATCTACAATATATATCATACCCCAACACAGATCATCTGCAATATATATCATACCCCCAACACAGATCATCTACAATATATATCATACCCACAACACAGCCCATCCACAATATATATCATACCCCCAACACAGACCATCTACAATATAAATTATACCAAAAACACAGACCATCCACAATATATATCATACCTACAGCACAGACCATCTACAATATATATCATACCCCAACACAGATCATCTGCAATATATATCATACCCCCAACACAGATCATCTACAATATATATCATACCCACAACACAGACCATCCACAATATATAGCATACCCACAGCACAGACGATCTACAATATATATCATACCCACAGCACAGACCATCTACAATATATATCATACCCCCAACACAGACCATCTACAATATATATCATACCCACAACACAGACCATCTACAATATATATCATACCCACAACACAGACCATCTACAATATATATCATACCCACAACACAGACCATCTACAATATATATCATACCCACAACACAGACCATCTACAATATATATCATACCCACAACACAGACCATCTACAATATATATCATACCCACAACACAGACCATCTACAATATATATCATACCCACAACACAGACCATCTACAATATATATCATACCCACAACACAGACCATCTACAATATATATCATACCCACAACACAGACCATCTACAATATATATCATACCCACAACACAGACCATCTACAATATATATCATACCCACAACACAGACCATCTACAATATATATCATACCCACAACACAGACCATCTACAATATATATCATACCCACAACACAGACCATCTACAATATATATCATACCCACAACACAGACCATCTACAATATATATCATACCCACAACACAGACCATCTACAATATATATCATACCCACAACACAGACCATCTACAATATATATCATACCCACAACACAGACCATCTACAATATATATCATACCCACAACACAGACCATCTACAATATATATCATACCCACAACACAGACCATCTACAATATATATCATACCCACAACACAGACCATCTACAATATATATCATACCCACAACACAGACCATCTACAATATATATCATACCCACAACACAGACCATCTACAATATATATCATACCCACAACACAGACCATCTACAATATATATCATACCCACAACACAGACCATCTACAATATATATCATACCCACAACACAGACCATCTACAATATATATCATACCCACAACACAGACCATCTACAATATATATCATACCCACAACACAGACCATCTACAATATATATCATACCCACAACACAGACCATCTACAATATATATCATACCCACAACACAGACCATCTACAATATATATCATACCCACAACACAGACCATCTACAATATATATCATACCCACAACACAGACCATCTACAATATATATCATACCCACAACACAGACCATCTACAATATATATCATACCCACAACACAGACCATCTACAATATATATCATACCCACAACACAGACCATCTACAATATATATCATACCCACAACACAGACCATCTACAATATATATCATACCCACAACACAGACCATCTACAATATATATCATACCCACAACACAGACCATCTACAATATATATCATACCCACAACACAGACCATCTACAATATATATCATACCCACAACACAGACCATCTACAATATATATCATACCCACAACACAGACCATCTACAATATATATCATACCCACAACACAGACCATCTACAATATATATCATACCCACAACACAGACCATCTACAATATATATCATACCCACAACACAGACCATCTACAATATATATCATACCCACAACACAGACCATCTACAATATATATCATACCCACAACACAGACCATCTACAATATATATCATACCCACAACACAGACCATCTACAATATATATCATACCCACAACACAGACCATCTACAATATATATCATACCCACAACACAGACCATCTACAATATATATCATACCCACAACACAGACCATCTACAATATATATCATACCCACAACACAGACCATCTACAATATATATCATACCCACAACACAGACCATCTACAATATATATCATACCCACAACACAGACCATCTACAATATATATCATACCCACAACACAGACCATCTACAATATATATCATACCCACAACACAGACCATCTACAATATATATCATACCCACAACACAGACCATCTACAATATATATCATACCCACAACACAGACCATCTACAATATATATCATACCCACAACACAGACCATCTACAATATATATCATACCCACAACACAGACCATCTACAATATATATCATACCCACAACACAGACCATCTACAATATATATCATACCCACAACACAGACCATCTACAATATATATCATACCCACAACACAGACCATCTACAATATATATCATACCCACAACACAGACCATCTACAATATATATCATACCCACAACACAGACCATCTACAATATATATCATACCCACAACACAGACCATCTACAATATATATCATACCCACAACACAGACCATCTACAATATATATCATACCCACAACACAGACCATCTACAATATATATCATACCCACAACACAGACCATCTACAATATATATCATACCCACAACACAGACCATCTACAATATATATCATACCCACAACACAGACCATCTACAATATATATCATACCCACAACACAGACCATCTACAATATATATCATACCCACAACACAGACCATCTACAATATATATCATACCCACAGCCTGTAATTATATTGTAATCCTGTACACATACACAAATAGTCCCTCTCTTTCCTGACTTTCTGAGGTTGAACTTACCGTGAATACCAGTAACGTGTAAGATGGCGTCGTCCACGTCAGTAGAGTGTTTATACCTTTTACTGTACTGATGTAAGGCTTCAGTGCACTACCTATGTTGAACCACAGAAAAAATATATCACGTCCAATAATATCTATAGTTTTTAAGGATACAAATAGATATATTAACAAAACAAAAATTGGTAAAAAATAGAATTTAATTTAAAACCTGTATTTCCTGAAAATCAATTATTGATTTATAATGTTCATCGTCAACACTGTGCCAAAATGTGAGTTTCTTCAGGTCGGACTACGATGACGACCTCCAAATGGTTACAAAGAAGATTGAACTCATGGCTGTCATGTTATAATCGCTAAATAAGACCACTCGAGATTCTCATCTTATTTTATGATGAACTGTCAGTTGGTTATCATTCATGTTAGTAAACAGGACAACCCTGATTATAAATACATACCAAATCTGTTGATGTTTTCTTTTAAACTATAAACAAACAAAAATGTAATAAATACATATCAGTGTCGAGTATTTCATGATCACGTAATGTTGTGAGAAGCAATGACTATTTCAAAGTTATCTTTGGACTGAACAAGTTACCTCCCTTTATAACAAGCATTGTTATAGTACTTCCAGGGAATGACCGGAATGAACAGAAGATGATGAAATCAGTATCAAGGGTGTTATATTCCCGATATGTAATCTAATTTGTCTGGAAGCAGTAATATTTATGAACATTCTTTATGAATATATTTGTTCAAACAGGAAGTATCGCATACTGTTGGTAAGTTAAACCATTCACATAAGTATAGCAATATCAAAATAAGGTCTTAATAACATGGAATTTGCCACTAGATATTATTTCTTTATGTGAACATGAAAAATAGCTAGACTGGTTCTCTCCTGTGATAGGAAGTAGGTGAAAGAGCATTTTGGTAATGGTACGGACATGAATATTTTCACACAATGCCAAGTTATGTTTCGGTGGATTATAGACACTACAATATGTTATAGTGTATGATTTCCAACAAAAATGATAAAGTTTATGATAAACCATTTACATCATATGATAATGCAGTGTACGGACTAATGACACTGCAATATACACCATTTCTCTGATAATACATGTATGGTACCAACGTTTTTACAGTGAGCGGATCTCCGTCTAACTGATCCGTCTCCTTGTCCTCTGGGGGGTCCTCCGTGAAGTCATCCATTGTCTCGTACACACCTCGTAACACACGAGACCACATCCTGTCCATGGAGCCTGGCAGAAATGCTCGCTTTCGCTGCTTAGAACTCTCTGCAAAACAATAAGAAAACGAAAGGAGTAAACAATAAAAAAATGACCATTGTATTTTTGACTTTACAACAATTTACTATGTCGGACAATGTATGGTTATTATCCATTACAAGTATAACTTAGGTTCAAATGAAGTAGTCTGGGAACCATAGCTATCGGATCAGTTGTCAAATAATAGTAAAGATTTTAAAATGGAGGCCGGAAGCTATACTTATAGTAGGATCGACGTTGTAACCATAACAACAAAAAGGCATCTAAAGATGTTCAACAGTGTGATATTTAGAGAAGTACATCGTATTCTACTTTGCAATATTTACCTCGCAGTTATAGTCACATAAATGACCACACATTTCTAATTGAAGCTATCTTTGTGTTGAGCGCTGATTAATAGATTTAGTTGTGCCAGTCAACATTACACCAAGTACATTGAAGCGGCTTGAAACCAGAACAGACGTTAAAGGTGCCACATAACTATTTACCTTTTAAATCATGTTTCACATGAACATAACATTTGTTAAAGGAAGTGATTGTTTGTAAAGGTTATTATAGAAGTAGCACGTGTATTATCTACAAGATGGGTTGCTTTCACTTACGATGTCTGCACCCCTTGGAACTTGTCATAGCAAAATTGAAGGCACATTGTTAGCCATTTGACCTGTTTATTACTAAATTAATCTTCTTGTCTCATAAACAAGATGGTTCACACTGATCCTTCGATTTTGCTATGCCATATTCCAGGTAGAACGCAGAGTGTTGTGAGGGTAACCTCTGGAGTATGAGGGTGCTTTACTAGAGTGTGATGTGGTATTGATGTTTTGATAATGTGTGTCATGGTATAAAACGTTATGTATATTTTTCATCATAGCTAGTGCGACTCTACTGATGTTAGTAAAAGTAATAGTATCTGGGCTTTACGCTTCGTAAAATTGGTGTATGCTTTAAATCGGTCAATAAATACATGTCTTCTAATACAGACAGGGTGTTTTAATGATGATTGTTGGGCAGTTCGTTTGTTCAGAAGTTGTCAATATCAAGAAAGCCACCGAGATGTAAAACAGATGATCTACACTTTAAAGCTAAGAACGGACTGGGGTCACGCGAGTAAATACATCACAAACTGCTGTACAGAAAACAAGTAATTATAATTATGAAAATAATTCTAAAATAATAGTTACCAATTTCTTCTTTTTCAGCCACTTCTGTTGCATCTTGAGCCACTTCCAACGTCTGTCTAGGTACGGTTTCACCTCCGCCTCCGGTACGGTGGCTGTGGATATGGTGATCTCTAAGATACAAACCCAGAGTTAATTACTTCGGATCCGATGCACGAATAAGTTACTTAGAACATGTTACCACGTATTCTGTTGTATTTTATTGTTGATAGCAAGTAACAAAACCAATTAGTTCCTGACAATTCAAAATACACATCGACAAACTGGGGGTGGATTTATTCAAAATGTTAAACTTGTTTTTAAATCCTTTTTTCAACAATTATGTATTTCTTTATGTTATAACGTAAATGCAAAAAAGAAATTAAATAAAGTTCATATTTAACGGAGTGTATTAATTACAAGCAAGCCTACCCTTAACCCTTACCTTGCTGTTTTCGTTTCCAGGGCGGAGTACTTGTCCTCTAAGTCTCGATAACGCTTTCTCTCAATGTCGATCTCCATCCGAAGCCTCTGCATTGACACTGTATCCTCGTACTCGCGCAGTTTGGAATCTGAATTCAAAGTGATACGTATCAATCACGCTATCCACGTTCTAAGTGTTTGATCTTGAATGTTTGGTCGCCTGGATAATACATTGTACGTAAGGTATTAAATGTGAATCTGATATATATGTCTCTATATAAAACAGAAATTGAAAAGTGAGAATACTAATAACTGACGAAGGGTACTTATTGGAGAACAAATATGTATTTATTTACATTGTCAAAAATCACAAGAAAACATTGGCAGACCAGTGGGAGTCTTTTCCATCATTTGTTCCTATACCACCTACTTTAGATCAGCTGATCTGATCACCAATCATTTCCCATGCACCTTTATTTATTTTGGTTATTACAGCTCAGTCAGACCTTATGCAATGTATTTTGCTCGTCCAGCCTTCTCTGTATACATTTATATATCATAATGTTAAGATGCATTACTAAGCTGATAATGTATGAAGTATGTTAGTATGTTAGTATGAACTTTCTGGGACTCACTTAGTTCCTGGTTGTCAATCATCACTGCCACCAACTGTTCGTGCAGAACGGTCAGTTGGTTTTCAAACACTGTCAAGTCGGTTTTTTCATCACCAAGAGAGTCTGTCCGTCCGCCTGTCCGTACAGACGACTGCCCAGTGGAAGACAACATTTCAAACGGCTGCCAAAATTACATTTACTAATCAACATCAGCAATAATACCACAGATACACTTATTTTACAAGGAATGTAAAAAAGTAAAATAGTTCGGTCATTCCAATTACAACATATAAAAGTAAAAACAATATAATAGAAAACTTAATCGACAAGAGATGATCTATGATATATAAACTCAAAAACAACCTCGGAAATCTAGCCTAACCCTTACCCTTACCCAGGACAGAAACAAATTGAGACGAACGTAGTTTATTTCCATCTTCCACAATGTTAGAACCAGAATCAGAAAGGAAAACATCACAAAATTGTTAAATAACTAACTTCGCCATTTTAAAATCGTCAGCTCATGTTCTAGAGAAAGCACACTCTCTTGGGACAAGAAATAGTATCCCAGTGAGTGATATCAAGGTGTGATTGATAAATCAAGCTTGTAATATAGTAGGTTTCAAGAGGACAGGACACAAACCTATAAAACAATCAACGACATCGACATTCTGTACAAAGACAAGAACAACCCATTTCCGTAACCTGTATCGCTGAAGGAAACTTTAACATCGTAACTGTTCAAGAATAGGACAAAGCTTAATGTGACTCCAAAGTTCAGCAGCACAGTTCCTAGACATGAGATTTGTAGAGCTTGCCTTACCTGACCTGTTTTAAGGCCTAAGTACATGTAATTAGTTGCGTCATCGTTACCAATATACATGTACCTGGTAGTATGCCAGCCGTTTCCTCACGCAACCAGATAGAGTACGCGAGCTATATCAAACAAACGTTTTATCAAACAAAAAACCCTGACAAGTTTAGGTCAGCGGCAACAACACATGAAATATACGTGTAACGCAAGTAAACGAAGGGATTACCTCTTCATCTGCTGTGGCCGACATGGACCCACTATGGCTATCCTTTGTGTGATCCTCCCCGCTCTCCTCCATACTTGTATTCCTCTTACGTAAGGAACCGAATCGGGAACGGATCTTATCCATGTAGACGTCAATGGGTGGTTAATTACATCACTACAAATCAAAGTTTCTAAATATTAGTAGTTTTATTGGTTATAAATATAAAACGATTACCTGCAAATCTAGGGTAGGTAGGGTTAGCGGGAACAGTTTTTTTTTTATTTGTCCTCATTGGACATTGTACATTTCATAATAATTTATAAAAGAGGAGGAAAAGATTATTTCTGGCTATTTTCTAAACCCTTGGAATTAAACCAAAACGAAGGAAGATTAGAAAGTAATTACAATAGATGTACATGCGTAAAGATAGTGAACCAATCAGCGAGTGACAGTGATACAGATGGACTTTCCTTTATTAAGCTCAATTGATGGAGCACTTTGGCTAGTAATCTGGGTTCGAATCATAGCAGGGACAACTCGTCAAAGTCCAGTACATCATTAACCTCAATCTCACATAAAGGTATACACCAGTTTTCACTCTCACCTATAGGTGTACACTAGTTTTCACTCTCACCTACAGTATAGGTGAACACCAGTTTTCACTCTCACCTATAGGTGTACACTAGTTTTCCCTCTCACCTACAGTATAGGTGAACACCAGATTTCACTCTCACCTATAGGGGTACACTAGTTTTCACTCTCACCTACAGTATAGGTGAACACCAGATTTCACTCACACCTATAGGTGTACACTAGCTTTCACTCTCACCTACAGTATAGGTGAACACCAGATTTCACTCACACCTATAGGTGTTAGTGTTCACTCTCACCTATAGGTGTACACTAGTTTTCACTCTCACCTACAGTATAGATGAACACCAGATTTCACTCACACCTATAGTTGTACACTAGTTTTCACTCTCACCTATAAGTGTACACTAGTTTTCAGTCTCACCTACAGTATAGGTGAACACAAGATTTCACTCACACCTATAGGTGTACACTAGTTTTCAGTCTCACCTACAATATAGGTGAACACCAGATTTCACTCACACCTATAGGTGTACACTAGTTTTCAGTCTCACCTACAATATAGGTGGACACCAGATTTCACTCACACCTATAGGTGTACAATAGTTTTCAGTCTCACCTACAGTATAGGTGAACACAAGATTTCACTCACACCTATAGGTGTACACTAGTTTTCAGTCTCACCTACAGTATAGGTGAACACCAGATTTGTCTCACACCTATAGGTGTACACTAGTTTTCACTCTCACCTATAGGTGAACACTAGTTTTCACTCTCACCTACAGTATAGATGAACACCAGATTTCACTCACACCTATAGGTTTACACTAGTTTTCACTCTCACCTACAGTATAGGTGTACACTAGTTTTCACTCTCACCTATAGGTGTACACTAGTTTTTACTCTCACCTACAGTATAGGTGAACACCACTTTTCATTCTCGTTTACAGGTATACACCACTTTTCACTCTCATTTATAGATATACACCACTTTTCACTCTCACATATAGGTGAACACCAGTTATAATATGAAAAAGCAAAGCCTTAAAAGAGCGAAGCTTTTGTTGATCTCTGATATTTACTGACCTAGAATAAGATAATTTAAATACTGCTTTCAGAATGAGGCAAAATAAAATGTATTTAAAGTCGGTAAGTCGAGGGATAACAATAAAACATAAACTTTAATGAGATTAAGACCGACACAACAATTGGGGAGATCGGGGCAAATTCGGCCCATTTTTATTAAAGTCCGTTCTGGGAAGTATGGCAGCACGTCCGTTTTTGAACATTATTTAATTTTCCCTGTCGGATGATCGGATGACCGAACGAGCTCCGCAATGGGATAAGTTCAGACAGACATTCGGGTAAGTTCGGCCCCATTGGAACTAGCTTAATTATGACCTTACAAAGCCTGCAACGTCAAGATGACCGGATTCAATCTCGGTTACCTGCCTGACCACGGGGGTTTTCTCCGGATACTCCGGCTTCCTCCCACATTAAGAATAAAATCCTCTGCGTGCTTCTGTCAGGTCACAAAAAGAATTATTGAAATAAGGTGGGGAAAAACTGTTTGGTTATTGCTATAGAAAAAAGTGCATATTACATATTTGACGATAAGTCTATAAAAGTAAATTTATAGAGATGTTAGTTAAAAATATGAAATTAAAAAAAGAAAATATTGTAATACTTTGATGTAACTGAGATTGTCGTTATATCGATCTTTAGAATTCCTGTTCCATCCTAAAACATCGGATTGAATTTAAAATTTTGTAACTGTCACTGAGGTTTGACAGGTAATAATGCCAAATACAATTAAACAGTTTCTGTCTCTAACTAGTTATAAATCGGCATGCGTTGTGAAAAAGTAATACGTTGCTGAAAAAGGGCGTTGAACTCGGATTCGTTGTCTGGAAAATTATTGTTGATTTCGACATAGATGAATTATGCATTGTTTCTTTTATGAGTGGTGATGCATACATAAATTATGTAAAGACTATAACCAGACTTTCAAAAATGTTATTTCGTTCATATTCTCAACAAATGGAAATCAAAAGCAGATGAAATTTTAGACGATGAAAAATAAATGTTCACGTTGACCTATTGGATTAATGCGACTCTTTTTGAAAAAATATCCCGGTAGAAATATTAACAGAACCTGATTGATGACAAAAAAGGATCTTCAGAAAACATCCCCGTTTTTACTTTTTGTGCCTGTGGCAAAAACTGAAATTAAAAAGTCATGAAGCACCGACAAAGAGAAAAATGCAACGGCCAGCAGTTCAAAGATTTTCTGGTTATTTTTCATCCTTCCGGAAATAACCGATGAAGGCCGATGGAGTGTGAGGTGATTGTGACGTCACAGTATGATAATCTCTGAACGACGTTTCATGTCTGCTAGTATCAAAATTTATGTAATAGATTTTTTTCACTCAGAATGCATATTAGTTTTTATCTTAATAAACAAGTAATAAAACATGGGTATTGTTTTCACTATATGAAGATGTTCATAAATGGGTTGAAACTCAATTGTCTTTGCTTCAAGGAAACACTTCCGTTTTCCCCACTGGACGTCTACTTCCGGACGAAATTTTTTAAAGGCAAGGTGTAGAAAGGGGAAGCAACTCTGTTTACGCACGCATGTGTTACCATTAAAGAGCTTCGCCCGAGAGCTACGCTCTTATTAATCACACCTATAAATATAAACTTTCTTTAACAGCAAGTATGAAACAAGTTTTTACAACTTATAATATGTTTTACGGCACGGCCGTTAGTGAGGGCGGAGCCAGGTTGTACTGTAAATGTATCGGAATATCGGTTCAAGCATTGAGTGATGTGTTAAATTACTAAATCAAACCTACATGTATAGCTATACAGTGTATATTACAGATAAGTTTCCTTTCTTGATTTCTTTTTGGCTGACAAGATGTTTGATATCTTGAAGTTTTCCGCCTAGGCGTATGATGACATGACATTAATGTGAGAATGCGAAAGGTTCATTAGACTATATAAGTATTTAAATTTGCACCTCTTGAATCCATTACAAGAATCAAGTGCAGCATATTCTACAAAGACATTGTTATAAAACATATTAGGATGGATATTGTTAATCATGTATAATAGCATAGTTATCTGATATCCACGAAAAAATATACATATATATATGTATATATCTTTACGAATAAGCCCTTTGGATTACTTCAAACTTAACTTCAATGATTTATAAATATTGCATCCAGAGATAATTTATGCAAAGTATTTTACAATTAGTGCTTTTTATGTGTAAAAATTAATTTGTTCAATGCTATAAAAACTGGATTTATATGAAGTTTCTATTAAAATAAGAAGCATATGCGAAATCACAATTTTTGTCATTTTTCAATACCCATCATTGCAGCCAAGAGAGTCAATAGATCTATATATCATATATATATTGTGGATGAATACATTTGTTTCAGCAACTTACTGACTATATGCTTTATATGTCTCTGCTTTATGTATAGTTTTAGCAATAGAGAAAATGTATTGTTTCCTCAATTAGAAATTGAATCAGTTCAGCACATAAAACTGTATATATTTTTTTTAATCGTGCAGATTTGTAAAACAGCAGATTTTCTGTTATGAATAAAAAATAGCTGTGAGATAGTAATCAAAAATGAAAATGTTACAGTATGGATTCAATTTTTTTCTTCAGTCTATTTTTTTCATGCAAAATATCAATAAAAAAATTCTCATGAAAATACTTGTATGTTTTTTTATCCTTTCATTTTGCTTCACTGTGATAAACTCCCTTTTTGTTGACAACCAGCACGTTGTTTTGTTGATATTCCGTTTTCTAAATATATACCACTGCAATCTCTACCCAGAGTTGTCGTAGGGAGTGCAAGGACCGTAACTCTGCGTGATAGTCTCGTTCAACCAGACTCTTGTTGTCTGCGCAAGCGTCTGATTGAACGAGACTACACTGCCGATACAATAATTTTCGACCATTCAGAACTAGAGCAATGTAGCCGGTAACGTTATGTCAAGAGAATTTACATCTTTAACCATATCAAATATTTAAGTATCCTCTAGTTAGATATAAGTTTTAAATCTTACAAAAATGTAACGTTTGTTCGAGATTCGGAAAACGAGAACTTGTTTCGAGATAAAGATGGCGGAGACTACAGCGCGTGCGACTGGCGGCCATGTTAAGACAAGTTTTTCAGTTCCATAGGTATTGTGAATAATCTTTATTTTTCTTACATACGTGTTACCTATAGGGAGAGCTTCGGTCTCACGGGCCCGAAGGGCCCGTGAGAGAGCTCCGCCCTCTATTAATCACTCTTGTTGGCCCGGATGTTAGTGCGCGGTGGTTCTTAATGTAAGAAGAAACCGGAGTACTCAGAGAAAACCCACGTGGTCGGGCAGGTGACCCCATACCTTTTCACGATTGATCGGGGAATCGAACCCCGGCCGCTTTGGTGAAAGGCAGCGCCACCCGACCACCCAAAACTCACACCTATATATGTACACCAGTTTTCACTCTAACATATAGATGTACACCAGCTCATGATCACTTCGCTCGTTCATAAGTACAGATACAACGTAAACATTTTATTTTGAGTCATCGACACAGATAATGACCCGCGGACGATAAAATTTAAGGCACACATACAGCCATAGAGCAGAATTGTCATATATAGTAGACATGCATACGAACATTAAAAAAAACACTATCTACGGTGTGCATGAGATCATTAAATTGCAAACGTAATGTACATTATTTAGGCCTACCCAGCTAGGATCTGTTTCCGCTTGAGCGTTCAAGTGTGTGTAATGAACATGTTTACAATAAATTAAAAATAAAAAGTACACGCGTACGTTTTATACCGTTTATAAAGTACGTGGTCATGTAGAGGCGGTCTTACAGTGTATTCTGTACAGTCATTGAGAGAGATATGTGTAGATATCCACAACATTCATACATGTGCCCAACCTGATTCAAATGTCATTATCTAATAACTACATGTATTTTGATAAGAATGATACATACCTCTTGTGTATACGTGACTCATACAGCACAAGTAAACACGGTAAATACCCTGGTATGAACACATGTGCACGTGAGTGACAGATAACCCAACACGTGGTAAACACACAGCGTCTGGGCTCAGGACCAACACCAGGAAGCGAAATCTATGTACTCGTCCCCATAATGATATCATACATAGAAAGATATACTCACCTACCTTAACATGATCGTCAAGTATACTAAAAGTAGACAGACAAATCGATGTCATACAGTTACACAGTTTTATTCTGCATCGTGTTAACGTTTCTAACAGTCTAATAAGACTCTTTATCTTTGTTCGCGATTGTTTGATCGTGTGAATTTGTGTTTTCAATGTGCTGAAGATGTTCTATATATAGAACTGATATGGCGGGTACATATCTGGTGCATTCGTCGGTTACATACTGACAAAAGGAGACGGGGTCCAGTCGTTCCGTACAAATATATACAGTGAATTAATGTATCCATGTGATCAGTACATATATATGGGTCAAAGGTTGAACGATTCCAAACAGACGACACCGTCGACTGGTATACCTACGCAGCCTAAACAAAAAAGCCGAGCACATACGTATCATGTTAGCCAATCATGGTCCCTTTATATACAACACACTTACCTGTTTTCGGTTGTAAATCCACCCAGCCAAGTGATTCGTGTTACTTTAACACTCAAAACAAATAGGTTATATGTTAACCTGCATGTAAACAATACACGCGTGTAACACTACAGTAGTATGGAGACGTTAAAGTCCGACGTGCTCGAAATGATATTACAACCGGAACATTTCGTTAATTCGAAGAAAGGAAGGTCACTGCTGTCCTGATCCAGATCATACTAGTTTCTGAGGTGTTTTAAACTATTTAACGGGATGGTCTGATTGATAATTGATGGTGAGTTAATTCATTTAAAAAAAACTTGAAATGTTTATATTTACGATGTAACAACCGTTGGTCGTGCAAATGCTTTCTATCATATTTCAGTGATAAAATGGAGAATGAATCAAACTATCAGTGAGTGTTCGTAATTTACGACAGCCTTGTCTATATACAGTTGTTGACAGGTTGGATTTTGTTTAATTGCCTTTTTTCAATGACGTTGGATGGATGAAATAATCAAACAAACGTGCTGTGTTTTGTGTACTAACATCGGTGTCGGCCTAGTTGTCGTTGTGCAATGTCGACCGTTTCATAACAGCCATGAATTGTATAGGAGTTGTCCCCCTTAGGCCACTAACGGTTCGTTGATTCTACTTTCAGCCTGCCGCTATGTGGCCAACAAGGTTGGTCGTGTAGTCAGCAGGACGTCGGGATTGGGAGAGATGGGGTCTAAACCACCGATACAGAATTTCAGTGAGCGGAAAGTCCCCATACAGGAGACTGTAACAGGTGCGTGTACGTTTCATATGGTCATACTCAATTCGTTGACTTTTTTCCTAGATTTACAGCCGAAAACAGGCTGCTGTCCCTGGCTTGTAAGTGCTTTATTTTCAAAAAATGATGAAACATTCAGCAATATTTTCCCAATTTAAAAAAAAAATGCTTTAATTTCCCAATTCATGAATAAAATAATCTTGTCGCTTGTTTATTGCTATAAGTGATGGCTTATCATCCGAGGCTCTGAGTGTCTTTTTAATATGATTTGAAATGTCGTAACACAATTTACATATTATCTCACACCTCTGATCTGTGGTTTTCAGGAGACACACATGGTCCTGGTCCAGACGTTGTAAAGCGTACTGAGAGTGGCAAACTGGCGCAGGGTCAAACTAACCAAGACTCGGGAGGTCTATCGTCTTCATAGACATCAAACAAAACATTGAAATAAGTGTGGTCTACATTGCAGAATGGAAGTTAAGAAATGAAGGCGTACATTCACAAAATTGTCACAGTTTAAGCTGCAATGAATGTTTCTAATCTGAACAAAAAGCAAGATGCTGATAATTCTGCTGATTTCAAAATCAAATAATGAGGGCGAAAAATCGTGTTACTCATCTCTCCTAAATAAAAGGATTCGGCTAGTAATATATGTCTGATTCCATCTTCTGTCCTTAATATCACTGACGTTTTATGACGTATCTGTTCGTAAACGTGTTGTCATGACACTGGGACAGCTGCTGAAGCCTATCTGTCACGTGATCGGGAAAGGATGAATGTACTTATACATGTACATATTAGTTGTATTTTATTTTAAATAAAAACCTTCTATGAATTAAAATATCTGTTTGTTTTGCGAGTGATTATGTTATTCTTTGTGGAAGAGGGTTAGTAGTTTTCTTTGTTAAAAAATACATAGCATACGATACCGATTGCTTCGCTATAATTATAATGGTAAGAGACTTAAATAATGAAAAATGATTTTAGTATACATTTTTTATTTTTTATTTCCCGATGTCCGAATATTTATTTTGAAGTTTTCCGATTACTTCTACATTACAGTATGCTCGGCCAGCACATTTTATCGAGGGGTATGAATGTTTACATATAGACCTTCCAAACGTAACAATTTGTGATTCACATACAATGACGTACATGTACCCGTGAGATATGATATACAATTACACAGAAATAACTGGGAATCATGTGTTACTCTGTGTTGGCTTGAGCACAGAATTTAAGTTTGAGCATGAGAACAGTTTCATCAGTACGGGCCCAGATACGTTGATAGGGTTTTCTGTTATACATTGTAATACTTATCAAAGGGAATAAGTTTATGCGCGTAACAATAGTAACATCAAAGATGGTGCAAGGCACAAATTTGAGTAATATAACATGTGGTTTTCCTATTCACAAGCATAAAAATCGACAACGCAGATGATATTTGGCCAGTAGCATGCTGAGATGAAGGGCTACAAAATTTGTTCAAATGAATAACCTTCACCATATTCAAGGTAACAGGGGTCAAATATGTTAAAAAACTTTAAACAACTTCTTATCAATAACCAAAATGCCCAGGGTAATGATATTTGGCCAGTATCATGCTTAGATAAAGGGCTACAAAGTTTGTTCAAATAAATGACCTTCACCCATATTCAAGGTCACAGGGGTCAAATATGTTAAAAAAATTAAACAACTTCTTCTCAATAACCAAAATGCCCAGGGTGATGATATTTGGCCAGTAGCATGCTTAGGTGAAGGGCTATCAAGTTTGTTCAAATGAATGACCATCACCTATATTCAAGGTCACAGGGGTCAAATATGTGAAAAACATTTAACAACTTGTTCTGAATAACCAAAATGCCCAGGGTGATTATATTTAGTCAGTAGCATACTAGGATCAAGGGCTACCAAGTTTGTTCAAATGTATGACCTTGAATCATAATCAAGGTCACAAGGAGCAACCTAACCATGGGTCCCAGGATGTTGATACTCTGCAAGTTGCATCCTGAAATGAAAGGCTATAAAATTTGTTCAACATAATGACTTAATTTGCCTGTAGCTTTATTTTAGATCACTTTTGATGTTACAAGTGTGATATTTATACCAGGTGAGCGATGCAGGCCCATTGGGCCTCTTGTTCCTATATGCAGTCACCTCCCTTAACCTCTCTTTGGATATAATTGCGTCAACCAGGTAGCTAAATCGGTCGGAGCGGTAGCTTAGCAATCTGAACTCTTCGGTTCGATTCAGAACACCGTTGTTGATTTTATTTTGCGTATTTCATCATTATCTTTTCTCATAGAAGTACCGCAAGTTATCGCTTTATTTCAGAAATGAATTATCAAAGCTATAGTTATGCCGGAAAAAAGTTTCCAAAACTCGGTAACAATGTTTTGGCAGTGGTATGCGTTAAATATGTATATTCGCATAGGATAAAACTCGCTGTTGGTAGGTTGTGTCATCTTTGATGCGAGCAAGTATTATCTCCTTGATATCTGTGTCTGCCTGGAATAACCTCCATCGTATCTGAATTCTTACTCTAGGTCAACTACTACAATCCTTCTATTGTCAACAACTATCAGTTGTCTGTACTGAAGAGTTTGATGGTTTATTGTTAATTTAGATAGAAACAGTTTACGGCAAATGCTTATAATACAATAATTCCTTTAATAGTGATCTAAAAAGATCTAAATAAAGTGATATCAATCTGCTTCTGGTAGCTCTTCAATTCCCCTTCCTGCTTGTGAAATTGTTGCCGGATCGTTTTCTGTTTCCGGCTTGTTTCCATTTTCCTTCTTCATAGCTTCATGAACTACAAGAACAAATGGTGATTACCAGTCGATCTGCCTTGATCAGCCAAGGAATTTAAATAAATAAAACTGAAGTTGGAACACTTAAACATTTCTTCCTATTCATTTTCCCCTGCCGTTTACATTTTTGTGATTCATTCAATTCTGTGGCATATTGCCTTTTATTTAGAATAATCAAGATATCGTCAATCGGGGTAGTTGAAATATGTTTACGTACTTGATTGAGCCGCCCACATTAAAAGTGCCAAGACAAAGAACCCTCCCACGGCCATTGTTGTGGCCGCTACGAGTCCAATGTGGAAACCGTCGTCTGGCATCGGGAGTTTAGAGGGATGATCCGGAGTGGTCTAAAACGTACATAAAAGAGGACACATCTGTGTAAGTCTTGTAACTACGAAAGGACAGTTTAGACCAGCATAGGGATATGGAGACGAACACAACCAGAGCTGAAGCAGTACCTTGACAATGAATAGAAATAAAGTCAGGCTAAAGCAGCGAAATGACTAGTGAAATGAAGGCGAGTCATATTGAAACCGCACCATGCCATGGGAACAAAGACAAGATGGTAGCTAACTTTAAAGCAAGCATAAAATCACATCTCAGCAATGTTTTCTGAACATTGATAGACATTTTAGTGCATATCTATATACCATGAATAAACATAATGACGAAGTTTACACAAATGTCGTGTTTATTTTCTAATATCCGTCATATTAACTGCGAATTGTGCATCACTAGGTTATATTATAAATATTGTAATCCCTGCTATTTCACGAGAGTTATCTTTCCTGCACTCGGCAGTATTCAAAATAGTGAATAAAGGACAGCTTACGTCAATAGGTGCGTGAGTTGATAAAGAAGTCACATTGGAATCATCGAAACTGCAAGTGTTCCGGGAAAACCTGGTCATACATGCAGGGCATTGGCGAATATCTACGAGACACGCACTGACTCCGTAACTCTCCATCTGACTATGTAGAAGTGACCGTTGTACCTCTGAGTGGTTGTAGATCAGGATTACAGAGGGACGCGACCAGGTTAACGTCGTTGTGATTGGCTGAACAAAGAAAATTATAACAACAATTTCACTTCGCATTTTCTGTTTTAATTTCACTTCGCATTTTCTGTTTTTCATTATAAAACAGTTAATAGTGCGCCCTATGTAGATAGAATAAGCAACATGTACTCTAACGCGCTTTAAAGTACATATATAATTTGATATGCAGTTGAAACTATAAAAAACCCATCCGTTAATACAGCTTGAGAATTTCGTATGAGCTGCCTCATCAAGTGTCAAATTATAGTTCTATACCGCCACGTTAACATCAGAACGTGTGTGTATGCCCAACGGAGTGTTGGAGGGGTTTCTTTATATTTTGCTGTGAGACCGTGTTGTCAACGGTGTCTTTTTCATAGTACCACTTCACTTGAATGCTACAGGGCTGACACTAATGCGCACACTTAATGCAAATCTCAACTCCATTGAGATGCGTTGGCAGCGTTAATGCAAAGTTTGTCTGAAAATTCCATCCTACGACGCCCTCGGGGATTAAACACGGTCGTCTGTGTGGGAGGATAGTGTTAACAACTCGGTTATATTTGCCTATACGGATCTCAAAGGGGCAAGGACGTTATACCAATAAGTCCCCCAAGTTCCTGTTATGATGCAGTGATAAATTAAATGTGCGTACTAAACAACTGTAAAGTACTTGCCTAACTGAAAATTGTTGAAAGTCGATTGTCTTTTGATATTTAATGGCACAGGTTACCAAGACCTCGTTATGGTTCACGATATACCCTCATCCATTGCTATAAAAGGACACGAATTCTATGTCGAAAACCCGTAATCCATTTTTGGAAAATGAAGTTAAATGTAGTAGAATGGAGTGAGTGATTGCTGATGATCTGACATGCTACCTGAAGGACGGGGAGTTTTTCTGCCACACTGATCGTGTTGATCTTTGAACACGAAGTACAAGCCATCATTAGAAAGAATAGTTATACAAGCTTAAAATTAACAATAGTTCGGTTAAAACTGAAGTTAAGCAATGCATTGACTGAGGAGAGATTTTGTTGGATGCTCCAAAACACGTCAGGTTGTAGGGTTTTGGTAGTTCAGTGAGGCGATTTTGGCGCTATTATGACCACACTGGGTAGACATCTGACCGTCAAAGGTCTGACAGGCCACGTGTCAACAAACCTCTGGTTGACTCTCATACATGGCTACGCCATCTACAAGGCCAGTTTCTTCAGCCACGGTTACAATCGTTAAGGCTCACGAAAGTTAACATTTTTCAGCGGTCTATGAGACAGTTTATCAGTGTTGTGATACAAGTTAATGGAGGGCACACTCGCTATTAGGCTTGTTATTTCTAACATGTAACCTTTATTAAATATCCGTAAAATGGATTGTTTGAATTTAATATTTTTCGACCGATAGTATTTTACTGCTTAACAATATTTCAGATTTACTTAAAACTTAAATAAATCCGTATAGTTATATTAGATGAAGCACAGGTAATGTTTCTTCTTCCTTATGTGTTGAGTATAATATACATATTATGTATATTTGAGGAGGATTTTGATACTGATATTGAGAATGATATATACTAGTACATAGAAATATTAAATTGGTAAAAAAGCAACTAACTGATTCGAGCTTCCAGATATATCAAATATTGCTAACCAACTGGCCAAGATAAATGTACTAGAATTGTACCTGTGAGGTTGTAAAGTTGGCGGCTGAGATGGTGACTGGAACATTGACTGTGGTTGTTGTAAACACGGGGTATTTGTCTGGACACAATCTTCGCAATAAAAACAATAGCATTCACTACATCAGTTTACTGTACTGTTGGTCGACGAGGGTCTATTGTAATGAACTGTGGCTAGACAGTACATGGACAGGGGGTTTCAATACCGTTTTCATCGTATTCATACAAATATAGAGGAAATTGGCACGAGTTTGAAGTTAGTTTTTTTTAAATATAAGTATTTCACCTAACAACGTTAAAAACTTTTTTATCAAATCAATATTCCTTTACATTTGCTAATCACAGTGAATCCATGACGTCATCAAATTGTTACTCTTGACGTTACGAAAGATTAAAATATCACATGTAAAAGATTAAAGTGACTTTGTTTTGTTATACCTGACTTTGTTGCTATACCGAATATGCTGACAGGACATTGTTATGATACTTATCAATACTGAAATCACTTTCTGTTCCAACTCACTGTCTAAACGATCCTTCGACGAAAATGCTGGAAGCAACAACAGGTCGGACAAATGGAATGTCCAAGGAAAATTGTCCTTCTTCTACGATGGCGGTCAGGATTTTGATTTCGTCCTCCATATGTACGTTGCTCTCCCCTTCTTTTCTTACTGTAAACTCTACGACCTCCTGTAGATAATTAAAACATGCGTTTTACATATTTGTGTAACAAAATCCTGAATACACTTCTCTGTTTTCTATTGCACAAAAATGTGTTGAAAGAATCTATTATTTTCGTACCATAATCCCGTACCGGCATTTATACTGTAGTCACGAGACACAAGGGCCTGAAGGTTTAAATACAAGTTTTCTGAAGGTTTTAGGAAAAATGACCCTTTTGCGCCTCTTTCTGGTTAGCTCTTTCTTGAGTAATATTTGTTTAATCTTTATAATATAAGGATCATACTATTAAAATTTGGTGAAAACCAATAAATTTCAGAGAATATGTAATGAATTTCACACATGAGTTCCGGTTCACTCTGTTTCGTCTTTTCGTCCGGACGGTCGAAGTTTTGTATACCGACGTCGCGTGGAACTCTTCGCCGACGCGTTCTTGAGGTGAGATAGGTTTGGGGGTGGCTCGGTTATGGTCTTGGGAGAGATATATCACGGGATAAGTCGCCGTTAATTATGGTAGCCGGAAATTTAACCTCCGTAAGATAAAGGGATTAAATCCTCCGCCCGGCTGAAGTGTCATTTGTACAATAGCATCACCTGATTTTCTAGCATGATAATACCCAGCTCTATGTAGCCAGAATTTGTCAAAACTGTTTCGCAAACCATTACATTAGCCCACTCGACTGGCCGCTATACAGTCCATATTTGTCCCTAATCGAACATCTGTGAGACGAGTTTTACATGAGGGTAAGGGGGCGAAGGGAATCCCCGCTACTCTCGACCAAATAAGGGCTGCCTTGTTGGACGGATGGAACAAAATGAAAATAAAAACAACAATTCGAGGTTCTTTTATACCGCTTTATCACACACATAGTTCGTAGGTCGTCTCAAAGTGGTCCAAAAAATATTATCAGTGGTTATAGAGTCTTTGCAACCAGCCAATATCATTCTCAACTCCCTGGGGAGCATACAGCTGGTGCTGCAATTTCGGCGCGCACAGCTAGCATTCATTAATTTTTGCACTGCCCTACCACCCACTCATTTACAGCTGGGGTAGACTGGAACAAGCAAAGTGAAGTATCTTCTCAAAGATACAACACAGTGTCTTGACGTGACTCGAACCGGCAACCCTTCAATCACGAGCCCGGCGTCCTAACACTCGACTACCGCGCCTCGGGAATCCCGATGAGAAGGATAAATGCAATGATGAACTCTATGCACAAGAGAATTATGAATGTGACAGATGCGCGAGGGGGGCATACGAGATTCTAACGAGTCAGTCGATTTCATTTTGCGATATAGGGAGGTACCGTCAAATGTGCTCCAATTACGCATAAATTATAGGTCACAAATCATGATTTTTTTTTATTTTTTTTTATTACATGTAAAGCCAGTTTTTTTTATTTATACTTATATGAAAAATATTGTATATAACGTTCAAATACACGATATTTAATCACCTCAAATGTTTACCACGCGTTTCCTTATCCTTTCAGTGTAATAGGATTCTTTGTTGCAAATCTGGTGAAAATTCACCTGTATGTGTGGCATTCCCTCAGGAGATCTACCCCTTCGTAACTGTTGATAACTCACGCTATACCCACAGCGCACAATATACTTATAGAGAACGCACACTATGGTTACGGAGAACATTCGCTATAATACACACAGAATGTCGTATTTACATGGATATTTATTCGATGTTATCTCTTTAGATATCACATACTCTGTGAATGGAAACCATTTCCAAGGATTGGACCAATACTCCCAGTAAAACGTTGTTGAGACTTCGAACAACTTTCGCCGTTAGATCATCGTAGCTGTATTTAATCTTCAGTAACTCAAAGTCTATGCTGTAGAATGTCAGTTTGACGTGGACACTGTAATAAAAAAGAACATAAAAAAGATTCATCGTAATGACTCTATTTTGTAAAATAGACCAAAAATCCATTTACGTCGGCCATCGTGCTACAAGCGGACATCTTAGCGCAAAGTGGTACCTTTCATGTCAATAAAACAGATTGATAAACTATTTTTATCTAATGATGTATACCGATTTTCCATGATCGAGAAATATTAGTTATCAGCGTTTCATCCTCTGCATATGTTGCTATGTAACTATGTGATGTTACCAAAGAACTATTCGTCAATATCTGCTTCACGTTTCATAACAGAAAAAGAGGGAAATATACAAAAAAATATTTTGTGATATTGTCTAGTAGGTTATAAAACTATTGATAGCATAATGACTACGGACAATTATTGACCTGACCAGTCCAATATTATCTGATCATTTCTCTACTACTTGTCCCGCCTCTACTAATTTGTCAATATCAACTTGGTCAGACCCGTATCAACCTTAATAGCTCAGTATTTCTTGGTCAGTGCAGTATATTGTCATCAGTTATCAGTCATTATTCGGCTTGGTTTGTGGTACGTACTTGGTGTAATCTAGACGGTTCCTGATGGAGAAGCGGGGTTGGACACCGAACCTGAACCCAGTCCTGTAGTCCGTGTGATTGGATAATACGGTGACGTATCTCTCGAGGTGTGGGAACTGGACGCTGGCTTGTAGGTCTACACGTACACCTGTCTATTTGATATGTTGTAAAGTTATCGTCAGCTAGTTACCGTTAGCATTGGTTACGATCATGTTACTATTTCCTCTGTTACGCAACGTGTTACACTACATCTATGTGTCACTTGTTTATATATATATCACCAAACCAAAAACTCATTTTAGAAACAATTTTCGTATATATTTGACGTGATTAAAAAACGTATTTCCTTATTTTGCATTTCATGTATAGGAAAGTATTATTATAGTCTTAGTTATAAAAGTATTAATAAAACAGGATAAAAAAGAAGATACTGTGTTTAGTATAATTGACTGAGTGCGATATGGTATCACCAGATCTTACCCGTGTGATAGTCACATTTGTAACGACATTTGAGTTGGGTGTCCCCAGAATGGTGGTGAAGTTTTGAAGCAGCGTTTGTTCTATTGTATTCACTTCTGTCGCAGAGAATGCGTTTAAGTCCATACATGGCACGAAAAGGTCTAGCTGGTATCTATAATAGAAACATTAAAATCGTCTCAGAAATGGTTAAATAGAAGTTGTCATTATAACTCCTATAATTATGGAATTTTAAAAAGTTTGAAAAATTAAACAGAAAACAAACACAAAAAACAAACAAACATTTTACCACACTATATCACTCTGTTGTACCTACATGTACTAGTAAAAAATAAGCGTTATAAAGCGTCTGTCGTTATATCGAGTTAGTAGCAGAAAGTAAACATTACAAGATATCTAGCGGTATATCGAATGAGTAGTATAAAATAGCGGTATGAACTTGTCTTGCGATATATAGTGTGATTCTTATGAAGCTACAGTATATATAGTCATGATGTTATATCGAATAGTGAGCATAAAGGAATAGTTTAGCAAAACGAAAAGAAGCCATTGAAACGTATTGACGTTAATCAAGGGCGTTATATCGACGTGCTCTAAAGCAACCTTGTACGTCGAATGTGTTTCCTCACACAGTGTGGCATTATGCTTGAGTATATTAACAGTTTGATAATGAGTAACACCTCATTTATTTGGACAATGTACTGCAACATATGTCTGGGAGATTGTGGTCCCTAGTATTTGGATCAATTACCCATCTCTGACACTCGTATAACGACTCATGTACCGTGATTAACTAATTAGGAAAGTCATTTCACACGGTGGGACAGTATAAATGGATCCATTACCTATCAGGTAACTTGTGGTCCCTCGCACAGTGTGACACATTTCCCTCGGTAAACCAAACACACATCTGCAGTTTATTACAGTGACCAGCATCTAAACTGCAAAAAGATAAAATGATCCATTCATAGTTAAGCAGTCTAGTTTAGATTGTACCAAATACAGTTATCCAGTGTAATAATGTACCTAGAAGAGGAGAACAATACAAAATGTACGAAGTATCGTTATTTAGCGTGTAAAGTACCTGGTGCAGGAAACAAGAAAAAAATATATACCTTGAAGAGCAGTCCAATGTAAATGCAATGTTATAGAACACATTAGAGATGCACACATTGTAAATTGTACCAAGTAGGAGAGTCGTGTATATGTTGTACCTAGTCGAGCAGTCCAGTGTGCAGTTACTATGAAATTTCTCCTGGAAGTTAATTTCGTTTGGTAGATGTTTTACGTTGCCCTGTACGATTCCAAATCCTCCTAGCCGCCAGAGTTCTTGCATGAGTTTCTCCATTTCCCGTAGGCTCATGTCGCCGGTTTTCTCAGCATCAAACCTGACGTATTTCTGTCACAAATACCATACACATATATCAATGTTATACGACTTGTAGACAAAACAAACATGTGTAAACAATACGTATCTCTTAATGATGTCAGCATCATGCAAATTGTTAAAGCTGTAGTGTGCAAGTTAACGTTTAATACCCTTGAAAGGTGACCTGTGATTACATTCAGTATTAAATTTCATTGAGAGGCTGCCCATCAACCAACGTAAAGAGAGGATATAACATAGTTCCATTTTGATATTAAACGAGCAGACCTATTTACACTAGTGCCCAGTTGTCTAACCCCTTATTGGCTTAATGACGAGTAAATATAATCTGATTCTCTTAACGAAAAATTAACTTTAATGGTTTATATAGCAGGCTCTGTTTATTTAGTCATTGAACATTTGTTCTAATGACTCAATAGGCTAAGCTTTCGACAAACGGTCCAAGAATACCTTTCTAAAACTGAAGGAAATGGGATCTTCTTGATATCAAACTATATATGCTATTTCTATCATTCAACATATCCGTTTTATCTTTACAGTACTATTAAATTAAACACAATCAGAACATATCGAAATGTAAAGTAGATATTCACTATTATCATCTTCATAGATTTAATTAAAGAATACTAACGTATCACATGTGATGCTAGATTACAAGCAAGAATTAAAACAAACAATTTATATAAGGTGTTCTACCTCGATCTCTATGTTGGCTTATGTTACCCTTCGTGAATTAAGAGATATATTTTCAGGATATTTTCGGGGACTGATTAGTTGGCATTGGATACAGCCAGTAATGTAATGTCGGCAAAGATTTGTGTACCAGATGTGAAAAAATCTACAATACAAACCTTCGAAAATCTATAAAACACAAATCTGAGACATTGCATGCAATACAAACCTTCGAAAATGTATAAAACACAAATCCGAGACATTACACGCGATACAAACCTGCGATAAAATCTACGTATAACAAACCTGAGAAAGCCTGAAGTTTGCGACAGATATTACACCCAGTGGGAACACGTCTTCAATTAGTCTGGTGAGGTTCTCGGCGACTAGCTGTCGGATTGTCAGATTTGTGGTATTCGTCAAGTTCATCGCTTCATACCTCAACGCAACTTCCAATCTTCAACAATTGAAATACTCTTTTTTAGTCTGACATATCATATAGATATCTATATTTGGTCACACGTTTTAGGGTAATCGTTAGAATTATTATAATAACGACTCCGCAACAATGACAATGAAACTGTATCGCTCCATAGAGGTTCCTGACACAACAACGCGTACAGTATAATGATGTAGCAAAGCGTCATTGGGAGAAAGAAAACAATATTCATTTTCAAGCTGTATTAAGTTTTTCTTATGAACACAGAACGCAAATATAGCTAAACATTCGATAACTGTAGTCCCTGTACTATGATGATGTATGTACGATTCGTTGACAATACTCACTCTGTGAAGTTACCTAGTGCCTTCGCTGTGACACGAGTACTGTTTGGCCCAATGTCGATCATTAGTCCTCCCGCGGCTATCCACTTGTCTAAGTCCTCCACCATACGTAACAGAGGAGGGCTCATCATGGATCGCTGGACAGTGAACACCAGGCTACTGGGGTACACCTGTTAATTTCATTGTATTACGTGTACCTAACATGGATTCGTATAAGGTTCTCCGGGGAACCTTCTTTGCATAATCATTAAAAGCATGTATTCTAACCGTGTAAACATCATAATCAATACGACATTGGCATTATAGTGAAAAGATTCTTATTACACAACCAATCAGTGTTTCTATGTGACGTTTCGATGACTAGAACGGTATGTACTTTGTCACCTTCACCAGACAAATGACCAGCGAAGCGTACGAATCGGTTACGCTGTTAGAATATGTACAATTATTGTTATATATGTACCGAAATGACTCGATTCAGCTACGCTTTGTTTAACATGGACATATCACTCCCATCGGAATACAACCTCTTCCTCCAGAAAATGCTGTCAACCTATTGTCAACTTATGATATATTTTCAAACCTGTAGTTGCAATTTGTTACAATAAAAAAACGTCATCACATCAAATTTGAAGTAAATATTTCGTTTGAATGATTGGGCGATGTTTATAAATCTGCATATGACAAATACGGTAGATGAATGTTAGATCTTTAAGGCTGTCGTTCTGATACCATTTTAACATAATATGTTACGATAAGAAAATTTGACAGTCAAAGTTAGGTATAGTATTATCGATCTGCTACATGTACATGATTTATCGTTGTATATAAATATTGTTGCAAATTCACCATTCTTATATTACACTATCATACATATAATATAACATATCATAAACATATTGCAAAGATCTACACCCATAGAGAATCATTTATCATATTTGTATTACAATTTTACATTCTAACTCACAAACACTGAAGATAAAACATATACGATCTTTATTGAATACTATATATAGGTAAACACGACAGAAATAGGACTGGTACAAAAGCACAATGGCATGAGTTAATCAAGTGCTCCTTTTTATGGATACACCGTGAAGCGTATAGTATATTCTGTGATTCGCTTTCTCAGTTAACAAAATTGACGATTTACAGGAAGAATTCTTCAGTTCAACTTTTTTCTATATCACATATACAAAGGCTTCCCCGACATATCGATATCTACATAGATAGTTTAAGACTCCGTTCTGAGGTCGAACTCGCGTCTGCCAGCTCGACGGGTTCAACCGTTGTCAAACATTGTATACCTATAAGTTGCATTATATATGTAATGCCGCTCTGGTAATTCCCTCTATTTACAACAAAATATATAGAAAATAAATTTAACAAGCAATATGAAACAATTAATCACTCTTGCTGGTCCAAATAAAAACGCACAGAGGGTCAAGGTGTGAAAGGAAACCGCATACCTGGAGAAAACCTGCGTGTTCGGTTATGTGACCCGCACCTTTTCACGTCCGATCGGGGAATGGAACCTCGGCCGTCTTAGTGAAAGGCGAGTGCGCGATCGACTGTGCCATCCGACCACGTACCAGTTAAATTTTACAAACAAATATACCTAACGTTGATGTCCCACGTCATTGCTCGCAATACATTATGTACAAACAGACATAGAAAAAAATGGGTAGCCCTTCGTATGCTTGAATATGTTGCTGAACAAATGTACGAAAGCAATAAATGCTGATGAACAAATGTACAAAAAACAACAAAATTGAGAGATCTCAAACAAAAATAAAAAGCTATTTAGATTAACGAATCCTAACCTGGCCGATTCCAAAGCTGTGAACATTTCTGGAGCTGATGTTTGGATATACGAATAACACATTTTCGACCTCATGTTTGAAGGATGCGATGAGAGCGTCAGTTTCTAATGGTGTTCGGTAAGGTAAAATATGACATGGTACTAGCACTGTCATCTCGTGTCTGAGGATAGGAAGATATCAACAAATAAAAGCAAGTATACATAAGTAATTACATGTATATGAATTAGTTATCAGTATGCTACATGTTTTTTTAATTTAACTTCATGCGGTTTAATACTTCAATTTATACTTTCTATTCTTTTGGCAATCAATAAATATTGATACTTAAAGTCACTGTTGTTATGTCACATATATGGAGGTTTACATCGCATTAATGCAGCATCAATATAAATAAAATTAAGTTAACGCTGTTACACAATAATGTGCATGGCAATGTCACCAACACGTACACCCAACATTGCGTTCATGATGGCCCATGCATGAAATTAAGAATGTTTATCTTGATTTTTAACAAATTTTATTTCTAATGTAAGAGGACATTCGAATCAATGATATAACAATGAAAATTTGAACGAATAATCGGAATCCGTTGAATAAATGATTATGTATTATTAATAAGGATTGTTACCTTTCAGGAAGTAAAGCGTCTGTCGTACATTGAGCAAGCTGATGAGACCAACCACAGTTCGGAAGCCAGTTACAAACACTTTGTGTGAGGCTGAAGTATAATATAAAGTACAAAACGTAGGTAAACGTATTTTATCCGGACTGAAGGTGACGACATATCACACACACACTCTTTATTAGGCTGAAATGCTTCCCACAGCCTATCTCAAGCTTTGTGCAAGGATAAGTCATAATACAAAATATGTGCCAGGCTATGTCAGTTCACAAATAGTTTTTTAGTTTAAATCAATTTTATTGCAACAAAAGACAAATGGATTGGACAAAAGTTATTGCAACTTACTTACGTCCTTTCCGTAACAGAAAATATATATACAAAATTAATGAGTCACGTAATAACCTAATACAAATTCATATATGTATATATATATATAAGATGTTAAAGATGGATAACAGCAAAAGAGGTAATGATAGGATTAGGGACACCAACGTATAGTTTTTAAATATGTATTCGGAGAGTTTACTTGAGATCGCGTGTGTGATTTTCCCAATCAAGTCGGCGTAAGTAGTATAACTAATCTATACATACATGTCCTTCTGCTTTTCTAAAGTTCAATCACATTCCGTGCCGCATTTGCCTTTCTCCTGTGTCACTCCAAGTCCTTCTGTGAATTCCTGCCTTACATACTTAGCCGACTAGATTAGGAAAACCGAACACGCACTCTTTGTCATATGGAAACGGTTATGATATTGATGGACGCTAAGATTGAAGTTAGTACACAGAGATCGTTGGTGTTGGAAAAAGGGAGAGGGGCTGGAATAAGAGAGGAGGTGGAGGGGAGAGACAGATGGGAATAGTCGAAATAGGTTAAAGATTTAGTCGCATCGCACAGTCTGTGTTGGACTAAGTCATTTAAATAAAATTTGCGTCAAACTGAGTCGCTGTTCCAATATAAATGCAATGAAAGTTGGACATTACTATTTTACAAAGATTGATACACATACAATCACTTACTTTTGATGACAAGATCTCGGACAGATTTGGTAGAAACTGCCCTGGTAGTACAGGTTATCTACAGCGTAACGCGTTCCTCCCAGTGTTATCCAAACACGGCCTGCATCCACGTCTCCACGAAGCTGGTCATAGTACAGCCCTAGGTCAAGGTCACTGTCCGCGGACTGCCAAACCATGAAGGGGAGATACATCTGGAAACAGAAAAACATACATTGTCTGAATACTTTTTAACCGATTGTCAATTAATGGTACCGGTAGATATATCTGGAAACAGAGGGACGTACATTGTCTGAAGACTGTCACAACATAAAGGGAGATAACATAGGAATGGTCCATGGTGTAAATACTGTCAAATCATAAAGGGTAGATAATATAGAAACAGAAAAAGTAAATTTACTGAAGACTGACAGACCACAATGAGCAGGTACAATAATGAAATCTGGAAACAGAAAAAAACTTATTGCCTGAAGACTGACAGACCATAGAGGGGAGATAACCTAAAGAGGGAAAGAGTGCAGTGTCCTCAGACTGTCAGACAATGAAACGGATATCATCCGAAAATGTCTGAAGACTGTCAATCAATATCAGGGAGACAATCTTGAACCCGAAAAAGTATATTATCTGAAGATTGTAAGTATATAAAGGGGAATAATACAGAAATAGAAAAAAAATAACAATGAAACCCCTAAAGGTTCCTTAAGTAGCAATTCTTTAATGAACATACATTGGACCATCTTTAATGAACATACATTGGACCATCCTTCTAACTACAAAGTATGTTATATGAGGTGTCACATAGCGTCGATTATGTCGATCGACCTCACTAGAACATCTGAAAGAGAACAGGTGAAGGGTAAACTGCTAAAATCTATTATAGATGTATATTTTGATCAGATTTTGAACAAATAAACCAATATGCATTCATATTTTTGTGAAAGTTGAAACAGGCGCGTGAATACCTGGTAGGGTTGTACATCTGTCAGAGTCTGAGCAATGGAGGGAGTAAAATACCGGTCTACTAAGGACTGGGCAGCACGCATGATATCCTCTCTGGCCGTCAGAGGACTGGTCAGCAGCAGTTGATCAAAGTCAAACATGGATACTGTCAGAACCACCTGCAAACTTCATAGAAATGACTATTTCATCAACTAAGTAAACAGAACATAGCTACCTTGTAAACTATGCATTACCTATACACGTGATGTTCAATTTATGACCAAGGCATGTATGCCCAGTAAACGCAACAGTGTCGCAAAAACACACTTTTTGAATTATAATAAATATCAAAACGTATATTGACAAATTAGCTGAATCATTAGAAATTGTATGTACAAAAATGACGTGAAATACTGCCAACGAGTTTGACATTTATTTTACATGGTTTTCGAGTGTCAGATCCTGCAAGTTAGGAATACAAGGAATTGTCCAATAAAAAAAATGTTGTAAATTTGGAAAAGTAGTCTAGAAATATTGTTTTAAATGAACAAAGTCCCAGCCAATACCTCGCCATCTAGCTTACTTGGTGAAATGTCTTTTCCGCCTAGGTTTGCTGTATCCAATGTAAGTTTGCATTCCTACACTTACAGACAGGCTTTCCAACACGTGTGTCAAGTGCTGCAGTGAGTTAGATATTAACGGATCCCGTATGGTTCCTTGGAGGGTAAATGCTACCTCGGTACCAATTGTCCGATTATCCTAAAATTTAATTATATTAATTACAATTAACCTTAAAATTATTATAATATCAAAAAAAGACACGCGCAGGTGTAAACATGTGTACATTTGATATGAAATAAGTTAAACTGCATGTGTATGCTTTCTGATATGAATCGCTAGTGTTTGGCGATATTGTCTTGTAAACGGTGAAGTAAAATGTTTATTGGAGGGTGGGGGTGGGGGGTCTGGATCTAAAAACAGCATTTGCAACATGTTTTACGTTCTTTTTGTGTCATTTGATGTGGATAGATAATTACTTTTACTCAAGAGCCTTCCTGCATTAACATTGCTCACCTTACAGGTAAATGGGAACATGGATATGTACCTGTCCGTAGCTGAATCCGATAGTAGCCTTATCTGAGAAGTGAGTTAGGGCGGTCTTGACCTTGAGCTTGACCTCTGTCACCACTTGAGTCTGGTCATTCATGCTCAGCTTACTGTACAACCCCAAGCATGGGAAATACACCACCGCCTCGAATCTAAACATAGAAGTATCGAAAAATTACTTTCTACACAAACAAAATGTACGTAACAAACGTGTCGCAACGTTTCAAGACCGACTGGTCCCTTTGTCAACCTGTTACTTGATACAATGTAGCAGTCAAATGGACTAGTCGGTCTTGAAACTTTGCGACACGTTTAAATTTATTAAGTACATTGTTTGTGCATAAAGCAAAAATTTCATATTGCATGTTTTCAAACAGACGAATCTTATTAAAAATGAAGGTCACGTGAGCAGAAGATGTGAGATATACCACATCACCAACTATTGTTTGCAATGACAGAAGGTCCGGTGAACAGATGCTAGGAGACAGTTTGTTAGGCTGAGATGTATATCCCATTCCATCTAAACCAAAAAACACATTTCATATTTAAGTCACTCTCCACAGCTAGAAACAAAGACAATCTGATAATATAAAATAACTGTACTTTTTATATACAGAATTTAATTTCATGTTTGGTATGCAATACAGTCTAGCGTGTACAAAACAGAAGGACCGATCGCATCGTTCGTTTAACTGGTAATTTTTACAAATGTAATACAAGTAAATGTACCTTTCTGGTAGATACGCATCCTCCGAGCACATATTGTCACCGTTGCCATGGTAAATATCCCACCTACACTCATCCCTCATGTTGCATTCAGCTCTGTTCAAACTGTATATACAAAATAAAAAGTCTATATATTTATATATTTCTTATCGTGATATAATTACACGGCAAATTGTAACTGGGGTCTAGCGGTGAATCCCCGGGTGGAGGGTCTGGCGTAGTAAGTCGTGTTCAGGCGTAGTTAGTCGAGCTTAAGTTCAAATTCTGTTATTACATTGAGCTTTAAAGCTCACCCATAAATATTTCACACTAATTACATGGTGTAAGGGACGCATTTATGACTGTTGTGTGTGCGTATGTGTGGGGCGGGGCGCGGCGCGGCGCGGCGGGATGGGAAAGGGGATGGTGGGTGGGGCAGGGACGAAAACAGATTTTTTTCTTGTGTAGTGATAAATGGTTTTATATAAAAAAAAGTATGTACTGAAGAAATGTGCGCCAACGGCGCGAAGTTAAAATGAAAAATAAGAGTGACAATTTGTTTATACTTATTTGAAATGCAGATTTCATATAACAAATACCCCTTCATCCACAGATAAAAGGTACCCCATAGAGAAATGTGCGTTTGAATTTCGAATTTCAGCTGCTACACATGTACACATGCAGGAGTGTCAGTATATGAAATGCTGAGTCTATGGTTTAAGCAGTTGATATACTTCAAATTTACAAATATGACAGTTATATCAATACATATAACATAAAACATGCACCGAAAAGGTAGGACGGCATCGTTTTATTAATAGATAGAATAAATGCACAATATACTTTAACAACTTGGTGAGAATTCCCCTCGTCCAATAGATGATGATGCCTTTGTCTTAATTATAGGTTTCATGACTTTGTTGGTTTGGGTGGTTTTAAGTCCGCGTTGATATCGACTTCCCTACCGAGTATAATTACTACGTACATATATTACACGTATCTGTCACGGCAAAAACACGACGTTTCCTGATTTCAACCCCAATATATATATCCATTTCTGTTGACAAAGTTGAAGCCATTTTTTTCACCTGACTGTTCCATCACATTTGATCGTACAGTGTACGACTCTTACTTTTCTTATTATACCAGAGGTGTATTATATATATACCTCTGATTATACAAAGTGATGTCTTACCTTGAGCAGACAATGTAAACAATTTACCTGTATATGGGCCTGGAAAACGAACGCCAGACTGTCATCTGATTGGCGATCATCATGTATTATAATTACTCCTATCAATCCACTGACATAGTAGATGACCCAAACTATTGTGCTTTGGGGCAACTTAAATTTGGTCACGCCAGATAAATGTGACTCCAGACAGCCAGGGAATACATGTAACCCCCACCACCATTACCACCATTTTTTTTAATCGTATTTGTTTTATTGAAGCAGAGATCTAGACGTATAATACATTATACGTCTCTGATTGAAGATATTTAATTTTGTTATTATATTTCTGACACTTACAATATTTTTTTATTAAACATATCGATATTTCTTATTATATGATATTCAAAGAATATTAACTATTTCTCTTTCCAGAAAAAAAAACAGAAAGAAAAAAAATCGGAAAGATCCAAGGAATTTCCCATAAAAATAGAATACACGTCATATGCCTATTTACCTGCTTGTTATCGTGAGAATGTGTTACAAGCGCTGTGATTGGTCATATTCTTATCGATCAACCAATCAGACGACAGGTAATGACACGCATAGGTAAGCCGTGAAGGTGTTACGAAGTAGGAAGTACCACTCTGAGTCAGCGTGCTAAGTTATAACCAAACCTAATAGAACTAAATATCTTAATTATTTATGTTTGAAATTGACACACAGCCAGACATCGTGGTGAACGAAGATTTATTGGTGAACTCGACCCTGGATCGGAGAGTTAGATTTAACTTCAGCGGTCAGGTATTTAGAACGTAAACACACCTGGACACATCTGGGTGTGTTGTATCGAGCAGTGACTGTTTATAGACTCTTATCAGATTGTATTTCAGTGTTATGTGTAACATGGTATAGAACGATTTCTCAACATCACACCTGTGATTTTGTACCTGTGATTACACCTGTGCGTAATATGAACATATAGACCCTAATCATGCCTTCGAAGAAGGAGCGACTACAGGTCCTATCACAAATATGGGCAACACCTACCCCATTTGATATAGATTTTTTTGACAAGGGGAGTGAAATTGTTGTTGTGACATCATACAAAGGAGATGTGACGTCGTGGTGGTTACGTGTGTTCAAGGCTCTGTACCCTGATCAGGTGTACCGAGAGAAGGCAGACATCACCAAAATCAAGCCGTCCGATGGAGTGACGCTCAAAGTCAACAAGCGTACAGGACTTATGAAGGTTACTGGTAAAAACCACTGGCGTTGGATGGTGGACAACTTTTCAGAGGTTTTGGACCAGGGTAACGCTGATGCTCAGGAACTTGAGGAGCAACAGTCAGTAGCTGACTCTGTCACACGCTACCTACAGCTCGACAAGAATGTGGAGGAGGTAATATCTACAATTGCCTAGTCTTCTTATTTTTTACTGAACTTCATCATGTTTGTGTGAATTTAGTACAAGGGCACAGTTTAAGGTCTCCATAAAACTGTCAGATACATCCAGGGGTAATTGGGGTGCAAAATGGGAAGTCAAACTTTTTTCTCAAGTTCTTGAAATGTTCCTGAATCCCATTCTTTTTCTTCTTTAATTTAAAATAGAATGGTTTGGGATTGTAAGTACTTACTTGGAATGATTTGTTGCACTTCAAACACCTACCTCCTTCTCCATCCCCCTCCCACCCCACCTTCCAATTTGTCCGAAATGATCAAATTATCATTTGTGACTGATGAATTTTACTTGATGTTCATATAGATCCCTAATCAAAGTGGTTTTACCTAGTCACCATACAAATATAAATATCACTGGTAATATTTAGTCGATTCAGTATACTGTCTCAACCTAATAAAATCTATGACCTGTAAATGTACGAGATTGGATTATCTCAGTCGAGGGTTAAGATTCTGTAACAAAATCCCAACTGAGGTGTAAGCCAAGGTTGGGATGTTACAGAATCTTAGCCCGAGACTGTACAGGTAATTGATTTTTTTTCTTGCATCTATTAGTTTATGCATAAAAATGTAGTCCGGCCTTAATATAGATGACAACGTATTTCACAGTGTAGATTATATTTTATCTACAACATCAAATATCCATTCCCCCAACAAAATCAAAACTATACATATAACGACAAAACAGAACATTTATAATGCAGATTGTCAATTTCAAGCAGTTAACGTGCGGATGAATACATCGCAGTGTAAAAATTCCGTGATATGTCATGAAAATGTTAAAGACATATCGGACGAAATAGAAAAATCTAGCTTGGGGTATGAAGTGGGATATCTCTGTCTGAGGTGCGAGAAAAACTCATCGGTCTAATCTATTTTTTTTTAAACCAGACAATGCATCTTTAATCAGTAGACTCTCAACAATATGAAATTCTCTACAAACTGACCAATCGTCTGGGGGATGTCCGTTAGCGCAGAGTATGCGCATGTCCTGAAGTGAATTTTTCAGTTTTTCAAATTTTCAATTGTCACCTATGAAATGTGTCTGAAATATTTCAAGCTTTATACACAAAAGTTTTTAAAAAATGTTTGGGAAATAATTGTTTGAAAAAAAGTATGGACAATCACCCGCATTTGGTAGTCGACTAATTTTATTGAAGTTTACATAGTTAGATATATGTATTGTGATCTCTGTGAGCTATCAGTATCGTCTCTCAGAACAATAAACACCTGTAAGATGATATGAAATACTGCAAGCATATCACTTGATATCTCTGAGAATTGTTTTTTGCTGCAACTAAAATTTTCTGTAAATGGTGAATATTTCACCTGACAGAAATTTCATTGTACTCATTATTGTGTTATACAATGCACATGTATTAAAGTTAAAGCTTAAACTCTAGACAGATTTTGAAAATTCTACTATAGCTTGACCTATATTTTCATATAAGAATTATTAGAGTTATTTTACTAGCCCCATCTACAATGAGTCAGTACCAAGTCAATTACCAGTTTGAACATGTACACCTCCAATCATTGTGCTGTCACTTTAACTGAGCTAGGACTATATTCACCCCTAAAATCACATTTGAGCAGGCATTCTTAAAATGACCTTTTTGTGGCCCCACTCTGTATAACACCATCCTCCTAGCTGTTGCAAATACGGAAAACCTGCAAAAATCAATAATTCCTTAATTATTAATTAGTCCTTAAGAATTGAATGTATGTTATCTAAATTAATCTGAGGAAATGTAAAGGCTTGCAGAACTTGATCTGATGGCAGGGCTTTCATTAGATCTTTGAGACTATGATTTACTAATTTAGTAATTTATCTATTTGATATAGTTTTTGACTTTCTTAAATGCAAGGATAATTCTGTTGGACTTCTGAATTGCTAAATGTCAAGGGTCAAATGAAAGCCCTAGAAACATGTAGTTTGTTTTATGAATCAATCTGGCTTATTTGGGGGAAAATTTATTACAATTTCTTTATTGCAGTGGTTGAATTAAAAGTGTACTAATGTAGATTGGAATGGTGATTCTGAACTTTTCCACATGTTCTGATTATAGTCCAAATTAATTGTGTTAGAAGAAAATGATTTCCATCACCTTTTCATTGGGAGCATATATAAGGACAAGCCATGTAAGGGCTATTCTGTGTACATGTTAATGTCCTATATACTAGGCCACTTGTAAGGGCTATTCTGTGTACATGTTAATGTCCTATATACTAGGCCACTTGTAAGGGCTATTCTGTGTACATGTTAATGTCCTATATACTAGGCCACTTGTAAGGGCTATTCTGTGTACATGTTAATGTCCTATATACTAGGCCACTTGTAAGGGCTATTCTGTGTACATGTTAATGTCCTATATACTAGGCCACTTGTAAGGGCTATTCTGTGTACATGTTAATGTCCTATATACTAGGCCACTTGTAAGGGCTATTCTGTGTACATGTTAATGTCCTATATACTAGGCCACTTGTAAGGGCTATTCTGTGTACATGTTAATGTCCTATATACTAGGCCACTTGTAAGGGCTATTCTGTGTACATGTTAATGTCCTATATACTAGGCCACTTGTAAGGGCTATTCTGTGTACATGTTAATGTCCTATATACTAGGCCACTTGTAAGGGCTATTCTGTGTACATGTTAATGTCCTATATACTAGGCCACTTGGGACAAATCACTACACTACAATTTTATACCTGTTGGCATTCACAGTATATCAGGTAAGATTACAGCAGCATGGGGAATTAAATTATATGTAAAGGAGAAAATCTAGTAATGGTATAATATGTAGCGAGTATAATAGATGTGTTAAAGGTTACAATCAGAACACAATGAAAGTGCCACTCATCATGATGGTAGTATATATATAGTATCTGTCTGTGATACTGGTCCAAGTATTCTATCTGTATCAAATTCTCTGGTCCCTGTGGTTATCAGGATGTTTTTTTTTCTGCATTACTTCCCGAGGCAGTCATACAGACTACAACCATTAGAGACTTTGTTGAAATTAGTGTGGACAATCAATGGAAACATTTTGAACTGTTAATCGCCTAGCTAGCTATAAATCTAACAACAGGAGTAGTTTTTAATTTGAAATTGTTATATTGTATGATATAGACATAGAAGCAGTAATTGCCTTCGTCCGTCATCTGTTCTATTAAATAAATGACATACATGCATGTTCTCGTCAGTAACTATTTATATGTACTTGTGATTAATCATGACCATTACCTGTGTAGTGGAGCAGGACTTAGTTGATCGCTGTTGACCAGGTAGCAGACTTGAGTTGGTAGCCTATCCCTCCAGAGTTCAGAGGAGTTTCGAGGGTCCAAGGTTCAATACCCAGCTGTCTGGCCATACATTTGATTTTCCCCTTTTACAGCTGCTTACCTGTATTACTGACCATTTACTGTTTACCTGACTGTATAACCTACCATTCACTGTTTACCTGACTGTATAACTGACCATTCACTGTTTACCTGACTGTATAACTGACTATTTTCTGTTAACTTGTATAACTGACCATTTACTGCTTACCTGTATAACTGACCAATTACTGTTTGCTTGTATAACTGACCATTCACTGTTTGCCTGTATAACTGATCATTCACCGTTTGCCTGACTGCATGTATAACTGACCATTCACTGTTTGCTTGTATAACTGACCATTCACTGTTTGCCTGTATAACTGACCATTTGCTGTTTACTTGTATAACTGACCATTTACTGTTTACTTGTATAACTGACCATTCTTTTTTTACCTGTATAACTGATCACCATTTACTATTTACCTCCAAAACTGACCATTCACTATTTACCTGTATAACTGACCATTCACTGTTTACCTGCATAACTGACCATTCACTGTTTATGTATATAACTGACCGTTCACTTTTTACCTCCAGGTACAAGACCTGCTTGACATGATACCAGAAGGAGGAGGCATTATGCAGCATGACTTCATCATGCGACTTTGGAAGAGCCTGATAGATGATTGGTTTGGATGTGGAGCAACACTATATATTGTCACGCCTCGCATTGATGAGGAAAGACTGTTCCAGATTTTCCTTCTGATGATTCGTAACAAAGGAACTGCATTTAACGTGACCTTGGTAACCCCTGAAAAATCGCCGGAAGGTGAGAAATTCAAGAAAATCCTTTCAGTCACGCAGAGGATGATGAAAAAGACGCGAACACCGAGATCCCAGAAAAGACTAGTTTCGGATGTGAAAATGCAGTGGGCTATGGAGAATCTGCATGTTCACAATGAGAACTTTTCCACAAACTTTATAGCTGCTTATAAGGACGAGGAGGCTGAAGTGCTGACCACCACGGCCCACTTCCATAAGAGTCATTTCCACACGAACCAAAAAGACAATGTGTGCTACAACAAACTCAGTACCCAGGACCTTAAGAGGAATTACCTGTTCCCCTTGGGTGTGACCACAGTCAACTACTGATTTAGTGGAGTGCCTAACAAATACATATACCAATTATAGCCATACGATCATATTTGTATGACAATTTGTCATTGACAGTCATGATCCAAATCACCAAATTGGATCAGGTTGTCTGGCCTGGACCTCTGCAACACATTTCTTGTGTAAGGCTATATAAGCTAGCTATATTACCGGCAATGATTAAAAGTAAATTCCAAATAATTGCTTTGAGGTCCGAGTTTTCATATTTGTTGTGTCCCCTCATGATCAGTTTGTGTTAGAATTTAACATACATGTATAACTTAACTTATTACTAAAAACCATTGCATGATCAATTATAAATAATCCTAAACTGTTAATATGTCAACCTAATACCATCAACCAAATATACCTGATTATCAACCTTGACTCATCATTTTCATTTTCAAGTTTTCTAATTAATGTAGTATGATTAAGCAATAACGGTATATTACACAGGAATGAACAGATAAGTACGTGTTGTTTAGTCAGAGATTTTACATTTATCAGTTATACATATATGTAATCTAACAGATGTGAATATTCACCCTATAATAAGTGCATTTACATCACTATATTTGAAAAATGAATTTGTACTACAATCTGTATATACATATAAAAACTCATAAACTATATAATGTATTTAGGAGAATCCTTGTCATTGTAAGATGTATTTCTTTTAAAATCCAGATTACGAAATGTAATATGTAGCTTTTATATAAATGTTGAGCATATAACAGTTAAACTTTGTAAAATCGTTCAGTAAAATGTGGCACATCTTCAGCCCATCACAGTCTCCATATTTCTGCCTCAATTGTGTGAGAAAGCACCAGGGGCAGCAGTGTAAAACTCTGTTTTTGTTGTGAACATGTTTAGGGGTAGGAGAAAAAATAATCATTCCTACCTCTGTGAAAGTTAAACTCAAGGTATTCCTTAAGGTTTCCAAGGACATCCTAAGGTAGGAGAAAAATAATCATTCCCTCACCTTATATTACCTATGTGAAAGTTAAACTCAAGGTAATCCTGAAGGTTCCCAAAGACATCCTAAGGTAGGAGACAAATAATCGTTCCCTCACCTTATATTACCTATGTAAAAATTAAATTCAAGGTAATCCTTAAGGTTTCCAAGGACATCCTAAGGTAGGAGAAAAATAATCGTTCCCTCACCTTATATTACCTATGTGAAAGTTAAACTGAAGGTATTCCTTAAGGTTTCCAAGGACATCCTAAGGTAGGAGAAAAATAATCGTTCCCTCACCTTATATTACCTATGTGAAAGTTAAACTCAAGGTAATTTTTAAGGTTATCCTAAGGTAGGAGACAAATAATCGTTCCCTCACCTTATATTACCTATGAGAAAGTTAAACTCAAGGTAATCCTTAAGGTTCCCAAGGACATCCTAAGGTAGGAGAAAAATAAGCGTTCCCTCACCTTATATTACCTATGTGAAAGTTAAACTGAAGGTATTCCTTAAGGTTTCCAAGGACATCCTAAGGTAGGAGAAAAATAATCATTCCCTCACCTTATATTACCTAGGTGAAAGTTGAACTCAAGGTAATTTTTAAGGTTATCCTAAGGTAGGAGACAAATAATCGTTCCCTCACCTTAAATTACCTATGTGAAAGTTAAACTCAAGGTAATCCTTAAGGTTCTCAAGGACTTCCTAAGGTAGGAGACAAATAATCCATCCCTCACCTTATATTACCTATGTGAAAGTTAAACTCAAGGTAATCCTTAAGGTTCCAAGGACATCCTAATGTAGGAGAAAAGTAATCGTTCTCTCACCTTATATTACCTATGTGAAAGTTAAACTCAAGGTAATTCTTAAGGTTATCCTAAGGTAGGAGAAAAATAATCGTTCCCTCACCTTATATTACCTATGTGAAAGCTAAACTCAAGGTAATCCTTAAGGTTTCCAAGGACATCCTAAGGGAGGAGACAAATAATCGTTCCCTCACCTTATATTATCTATGTGAAAATTAAATTCAAGGTAATCCTTAAGGTTTCCAAGGACATCCTAATGTAGGAGAAAAGTAATCGGTCTCTCACCTTATATTACCTATGTGAAAGTTAAACTCAAGGTAATTCTTAAGGTTATCCTAAGGTAGTAGAAAAATAATCGTTCCCTCACCTTATATTACCTATGTGAAAGTTAAACTCAAGGTAATCCTTAAGGTTTCCAAGGACATCCTAATGTAGGAGAAAAGTAATCGTTCTCTCACCTTATATTACCTATGTGAAAGTTAAACTCAAGGTAATCCTTAAGGTTTGGTCATACCTCAAGTCAACGAAATATTCTATTAATGGTTAATGTTACACCATGTACAGATGTACAGTACTATTAAAGAAACATTTTAGATTATTTAGCATTTGAGCATAGTTTCATCTTGAAATCGTTTACAAGTTCATGTTTGCTGCTAAAATTTAAAATACGCACCTAGGTTAGCTGATTTGCATAAATTAAAAACTAATACATATCCTGCACTCATTGTGTAATTTTGAGGTAAACAAGATGTTTGTTTGGTCACACGTGGCTCACAATGTCTGGTAGATACAGAGTTGTTGATTATGTAATCAGCCCGCAGCAACACATAGATAATTGTAAGTTTTTGTCCTGTACTGGCAAGACATTGCAGTTATTTACATCAAACACTTAACTCAATTTAGCCGACATCGATATAATGCCCAGTATAGAACCAGTTATATCCTTTAGTGTAGCTATGTAGGTAGGACTGTCACTAACCTGATCACTGAACCCAGCTGGACTCCCTGTTCTATCTTTGTGATGGATGCTCAAATGATTATGAAGACAGCTACATGTATAAAACTATATTTTTACAGTAAAGTCGTTCGTTCTAAAATACACATTCTCAGTATGTAAACACCATGCCTGGCATCCATAAACTGGTTGATATATAATAGATACCAGGTAGCTAGGTAGGCGTTTCAGGCAAATGATTGTTATTAACAGTGTTTTAGACAATGCAAGTGGTCTATAGTATAGACAGGTTGTTTTTAGACCTTAAAGGCATATAGTTTTTAGAGATAGTTTGTGGTCCTTATAAATATACATGTAATTATATATGATAAGGTGATCATTTAAGACAGCTACATTTGTATAGACATATGGTCTATAAAAATAAATTGCCTTTTGACATCATCTTTGTAGACGGATAAGCTTTACCAGCATTAAGTCTTTTGATAGATGAACTTTATAGACAGGTAATAGTTTGAGTCAGGTGATCTTTGTAGACAGGTGAGCTTTATAAACTAATAGTCTTTTGATAGGTGATCTCTATAGACAGGTATTATTTTAATTCAGGTGATAAGCATTTATCGTTGAAGACAGGTTAGCTGTTTAAGATAAGTCTTTTGATAGATGATCTTTATAGACAGGTACTTTAAGTCAGGTGATCTTTGTTGACAGACGAGTTTTAAGGAATAAAGATTGGTTACTTTTATAAACAGTGTCTTATCAAAATGTGTGGCTATTCACTAAAAGGAATTAAAGTACAATTAAGTAATGCACTCATTGTTTAAGCAGATTCTACATTTTATATTGCAAATGTATTAAAATGATCGTCATTTTTAAGTATTTACTCGTTCATTAGGTATTGCTCAACTGCTATTACTATCTTTCATTTCAAAACATTCCATTGATTGTTTTTAAAAATCAGTGCACATTTTTTTGCAGTCCTTAAAAAGTGTAGCTGTATGGAAGATGAAAGTAACATCTTTGTATTGGATTGAGCAGGACTTGGGTCAGTAATTGTAACTTTCGTTTGCATATAAATGGTATAATGTCTACAAATCCCACTTGTTTAGAATGTGGCTTGACTAAGCTATGCAGCCTTCTGTTTCATTCGTAGTGATTAGTAACTAACTGGTGTCCACTGGATATTTAGTGTAATAAATGATTTGCTTTCATATCAGCATGCATGTTTAAAAGCTCCATTCTCCCGATTAGATTCGATGAAAATCTGGCAACTATTATTGGCATTTTGTTGGGAGTTCAAACGATGTGTATATTACTGTTTTGGTGAGATTGTATAACAAAGATTGTTTTAAAACAGAACCTCAGATTTGTGCGAAGCTTAATGTAACATGATATATGAGTGATTATACAGGACACTGAGACGTGGATTTCATTTCTATCTTCTGTATCATTGATGAATTCTTCGTAAAAACGGTGATCATATCATGCAGTAAACGTTCACCCTAATTGACTTTCTGGATGGACTAACTCAATTTCTAATTAAGAGTTCATTCATTTATTTGTGATTATGCAAAATCAGAAAATAAAATTAGTATTGTCCTGCATCAGTACCGAGCATTGTGAATATAAACATGCAGTCTATATTGAAATCAAGCACTAGTAATTGCATGTATTGAGTAACAAACATCTTTCTACCCTATGAAACTTTAATAAACTCGACCATGCATTGATTTGGATGAGTCCATTATGGTGTACATATTGATACAATCTGTTAGATTTAGTCCCTTTTGTCTATTTTATTTATGGTATACACGTAACTTTATCATAGTTGTACATAAACGCAATTCGCCCATAAAGTGTTTGTATTTCATCATTCAAGCGATAACGCTGTAAATTATGTTTGAATATGTTTCCTGATTTTATGATTCGAGGAGATTTCTACAAGATCATGCATACATAAGTGCTTTTCCTGACACAAGCTAAAACATAAATATTTATTAAAAACAGATTCCGAACTCATTGATGACTGGTTTTCATGTTGATCTAACTAGTTGAAAATTGTATTCTGTGTATGCGTCACGTATTGATTATTACAAAGATTTCGTTAATGTAAAACAATAAAAACAATGATTTTATCAACATATGTATTGTTTGACAAACTAAAAAAAGTAATGATATACATTGTAGGGTCTGGACACATATATTTATGTTATAATTTTTATACCATAGTTTAATACAACGATGGCTTTGAAACTGTTTTCTTTGTCTATTTGTAGACAATTCGGTACAGGTCCTCGGTATCTTTACTATTGTGTCTTTTTAGACCTATATCTACATATGGGTGTGGATTGTATACATTTCCTGGCCGTTATATATAATCATTTAAAAATTGTTAGCTTCTTTGTCTATTTTCTGGTAAGTCTGAGTGGTATATTAAATGTCTCAGATGTTTCATGAAAATTGTTCTGATATCCCGTTTTTACACCTTATTTCCTATCGTACATTAAACTCTAGTGATGCATATATAGAGAATGACTACCCCATCATTACTTGTTCATCAATTATGTTTTAAGTTCTCTGACCTAGTGGCCAGGCCTACTGCCCGCCCTTTGTTAGACTATCCGTGATCTAGTCTGGTACATACACCCACACCAACTGTCTTAAAGCGGTTCTGACATACAAGATGAGGTGATTTGATATAAAACGTTACCAATTACCGGCAATTTTGTTACCCTACCAGAATTAATGGGGGATAATTGACAGAATATATTTTTCAGAAAACCATTATCAAAGGTTATTGGTAAATTAAGATTTGTTGGTTTCCCTGACCGAGACAGTGTGGGTGGTATAATATTTAGCACACTCGTTGTACATGGCACCACTCACACAGTCAGCTGTAGTCACAAGGTTTGATGAGTTGTTTTTGTTTTCTTTACTGAATCAGGGAAGATAAACCAATGTGTTCTACATTATAATGAACATTTTAGAGATATAGGTTTACAGTTCATGTAACAATCCTGATGTCAATGTATATAATTTAATGATTTGCATGATTGTATATTGTTTCCTGAGTGAGGAGTGAATGATCTTGTTAATACTACAATTACCATAGTTTATTCCAATATGCACCTATTAAATAAACACATAATAACCTATACTATACACTCATCACTGGTTTCTTTTGTTGTTAAGAGATTTAGTTAATGTAGTCAAATTATTATTGTTCTTGTCGTTAATAAGTGATATACAACTTTTTAAAACCATTCAATTTTGTCTGTACCATGAAATAGTCCATATGTGTATGTGTAATATATATATATTCTGTAATTATTATATGACAATGTCCTACCACGAAATAATTTAGCAATGTATGTAGTATGTTCATAGTACATATATTGTGTTTGGCGTACCGTTTTCTAAAAAGATTTTGTTCCGCACATAAACAGTAAAACATATATTTGCTAGATTTTAAATTCATGTTATACTCTCCATTTACGCACATATGTGTAAATCATTAGAAACATGAGTGATTAACAGTTTGTATTACTGGATTACTAACATAAAATATATATGTGTATGTAAAGTATATTGAGATATATCAACCAAGGACATCGACATACGATGAACATTTTTGTGTATCAAATAGAATGAGATTATGACCAGATGTTCACATCAACGGTCAATGCTAAAAATGTAGGTGCTTTTTTCTCCCACAGTTCGTGTATGTACAATTGTAAACTATGACGTCATCACACGTTTGATGATTTCCCTGTGATAACTGAAAATACTGAAATATTTAACAAACGATTACACGGCCTGGGAGTGATAAGACTTAAAGCAGTTGAAGACGAAAGATACAATTGTACCTATTTACTTGTAACACATATTCTCTTTTCCATATTTGGCATTCAGGTGAAATCATATGTTGTAGCAGGTAATGTCCGGTTTGGATGAGTAAAGACTGAATATATTTACATGTTAGGTTTGCATCATATCCCACAATGAAATGTTGTGGTGTATGTCTAAGGTTTGTAATACACTCCACAATTATAGGTTGTGATGTATTTATTTAAGCGGTTTGTAACACCCTCAATGATAGGTCGTGACGTCAGCGTTGTATTAACAGCTATGGTCATATAAGAACATGACAGGTTTTGGTGGAAGCGGAAAACTGGAGTACCCTGCGCCCAGGTCAACGTAGGCTTCGAACCTGCGACCTAATGGCGGAGGTCTAGTGATTGTAAACATTCAGACGACGCCATCTGTCAGCGTTGTCATTACACCTGATTTCGCTAGTAACAGTTTTCTTGCCCATGCATATAGGTCCTGTATGTTTACATGCATTGCTAATACGTGTTTTCGAGGTTGTTCGTGTTTAGTAGTGACATCTTTATAACAGTGTTTGTTTTTATGACTTGTACATTCCATGTATGTTGTTTACCTGTCGTTAAACTGGTGCCGTCTGGTCAAGTCTGTAGGCACACCTACACATCTGTAACTTGTATAGACACTATATTTTATGTATGCATGATTGATCTTCGTCATCAAATTATTGTTGATAAAAAATATTATATGGCCGTGAGCAGCAGGTGGTATTTTATATCAACACTTAGGTGATTGGTATCACTAGTTTGGACATATTTCCTTTAATCATATTCAATGGACAAGTGCTACATTGTAATCCATTTAAAACAAATGAGCTTTATAACTAATTCGTAATCACCGACACTTGCCGTTGTTCGAGTAACACAAATTAATTCAGATCTTTTTTCTAGAACAAGTCCTCGTTATATAAAGATCTGATTCCGTTTTCAATAGCTTTCCTTTAGTTGAGGAAAACAAATAACTTAATTAAGCCTCTTCCATTTTAAGATATGGCTGACTTTAAATAAAAAGATTAGTCATGTTGTTCCTCAGCGCAAAACCGCAGTTAAGAAACGGTTATAAAACTTGGTTGTTGACTGTTATAACGGCACGTGCCTGTGATTTATTGAAACATCCTATTTTTACTCCGTGTATTCGATGTACGTGTTTGCTCGCACAGAAGTGCAATTCTACACGGTGTAGTGGTTCACATTCCATATGTTGACATATCCTTTGTATTACTATTGTGTCACGGTGATTGACGTTTGTTGCACGAACGAAAGTAATTTTATTCCATACATGAAAAACAAATAAATTGGAAAATGATATTCTAGTTGTAGTTTCTATGAGTATTTATGTAAGATTATCAGCACGAGTGTTCTAGACTATGGGCTGTGATGTTTCGCCTGAATCCTTTCTCGGGTCTGTGGAATCCTCATTATGGAATCCTCACAAGTGTGAGACAGTATCATTTCTACATATACACTACATTCTGCTGACCAATAACGAATTATAAATCCAGGGATTCAAAACAGGTAAGACAGTAATTAAAACGATAGGATGGATAAGGTTAAGATACCAGCTCCGTAAATCATGAAGTCGTATTTATATTACAAAAAATGTAAACCATATAATTTTCTAAACTGAGCGTGAACTATATAGACATGTAGTTACTTTCTCATGAAGGACAGAACGTGCAGAATTTGTATTTTCGTTAATAGTCAGTCGCTCAGTCACACTTACTTTTTCAATGTACAATTCTTTCACACAAATTGGTGGATGTCGGCTTGCATGGCATACATGAACAACTAGTTTATGAATGATTTATCTGGTGTTGTTAAAGATGTACCTTTGTAATGTTACACAGGTTTGTATTGACACTTTTCTATTTCCATTTCTACCTATTTTTTGAGAATAAATTTGGCCTAAATATTTGTTTGTTTGACCTTTGCCCTCCTAAAAGGGGGAAAACACATGACCATACGGTGAAGTAAATATGTACTTTGTTTGGCTTTATGACTCATCATACTAAACTTTGATTGGGTACTTCTTTACTTCTTAATTCTGGGAAATATTCTAATGTAATGTTACACACGCAGGCATTTATAGATTATCACACTGTTTTCAGGGTCAGACATATATTTACCGATTTAAATGTAAACCGTGCAGACATCGGTTTTCCCGTGGTATTGCGATTATCGATTATCGATATGTGCAAACAATGCAATCCGATCCTGATGTCAATACAATGTAGGGTAATTTTATCCTGATGGTTATACAATGTAGGGTAATTCGGTCCTGATGTTTATATACAATGTAGGGTAATTCGGTCCTGATGTTTATATACAATGTAGGGTAATTCGGCCCTGATGTTTATATACAAGGTAGGGTAATTTGGTCCTGATGTCTATACAATGTAGGATAATTCGGCCCTGATGTCTATACGCTGTAGGACTGTTTGACCCGGGTGTGTAACCCGTATCTGCGTTTCCTATTACATTTTTAGCTCATCTGGTCCGAAGGACCATGGTGAGCTTATGCCATACCGCAGCGTCCGTCGTCCGTCCGTCCGTCCGTCAACTTTTTCTTTAAAACGGTACTAGTCATTAACGACTAAGCAGAATTTGGTCAGAAGCATCCTTGGCGAAAGGGGAACAAATTTTGTATACATGATGGGTCTGGCCCCCCTGGGGGCTGAGGGCCGGGTCCAATAGGGGAATATATAGCAAATTCTTCGAAATCCTTCTTCTTCTGTAAGAATGAAAGGATTTGTTCCATATTTGGTCTGAAGCATCCTTGGGTGAAGGGAAACAATTTTGTATAAACAGTGGGTCTGGCCCCCCTGGGCGCTGAGGGGCGGGGCCCAATAGGGGAACCTTAGCAAATTCTTTAAAATCCTTCTTCTTCTGTAGGAAATGACAGGATTTGGTCCATATTTGGTCTGAAGCATTTTTGGGTAAAGGGGAACCAATTTTGTATAAACGATTAACGTTGGTCTGGCTCCCCGTGGGACTGAGCGGCGGGGCCCAATAGGGGAAATATAACAAATTCTTCAAAATCCTTCTTCTTCTGTAGGAATAAAAGGATTTGTTCCATATTTGATCTGAAGCATCCTTAGGTAAAGGGGAACCAATTTTGTATAAACGGGGGGTCTGCCCCCCCCCCCCCCCTGAAGGCTTAGGGGCGTGGCCCAATAGGGGAAACACAGCAAATTCTTTAAAATCCTTCTTCTGGAGGAATGGAAGGATTTGGCCCAATAGGGGAAACAAAGCAAATTGTTCTTTAAAATCCTTCTTCTGTAGCAATGAAAGGATTTGGTCCATATTTGGTGTGCAGCATCCTTGGGTAAAGGGAAACCAATTTTGTATAAACGGTGGGTCTGGCCCCCTTGGTTCTGCGGGGCGGGGCCCAATAGGGGAAATAGAGGTAAAAACCTTTATAATCCTTCCTCTACCATAGGGATTAAGGGATATTATCCTAATTTAGTTTGGAGCATCCTTGGGCAAAAGGGACTCAATTTCGTATAAGCAGCGAGTGTGGGCCCCCTGGGGGTAGAAGAGAGGGGCCCAATAGGTGAAACATAGCAAATTCTTCAAAATCCTTCTACTTCTGTAGGAATGACAGGATTTTGTCCAAATTTGGTATGAAGCACCCTTAGGTGAAGGGGAACCAATTGTGTATAAACTGTGTGTCTGACCCCACTGGAGGCAGAGATGTGGGCCCAATAGGGGAAATAGAGGTAAAACCTTTTAAATCCTTCTTCTACCCTAGGTATTAAGGGATTTTTTCCTAATTTAGTGTGGAGCATCCTTGGGCCAAGGGGACTCAATTTTATATAATCAGTGGGTGTGGTCTCCCAGGGGACTGAAGGGCGGGGCCCAATAGGAGAAATAGAGGTGAAACATTTAGAATCCTTCCTCGACCATTGGGATGAAGGGATTTTATCCTAATTTAGTCTGGAGCATCCTTGGGTATGACCCCCCCCCCTCCTAGGGGCACTGGGCTCTGTTTGAAGGGTGTTCTCGCTATATCTCAAGTACTGGATGGATCTTTCTGAAATTTCATATGTATTTACAGCACCTACCATGGAGTGCTATATCATACCAATTATTTTTAAGCATATTCAGATGAGCGATACAGGCCCTCTGGGCTTATTGTTAGTAAGTAGATTGGCGCCCAGATTATTTTTATGCAATACGTACGTGTAGTTACAGGGCCGTCCACATACATCCTGGTCTCCAGTCGTCGTAGTAACAGTCTTCAGCGATGTTATTGTGTCCATTAAGGCAAATGTAGTGTGGTTTTTCAACATCTCGTTTGTAAGGGAATCAACCGCGTCTACAAGTTGGTCACTTGTAAAACCCGGAGGTACTGCCACGGTGAAACTCACCCTATCCTGAAAGCAAGGGAATATGTCATATTAACATTTCAACAAGTGTGACCTCACCGAATTCGATGTGCAGTTTGCAAAAAAATATGTGATCGTGACGAGAGACTTTATAGTGAGCCGTTTGTAAAAGAAAACTAATATTTTGTTAAAAATAGCAGTTTAAAACAAGTATTGAAGATATTGATATAATTACGTAAAAAGGCCAAATGTTAGCAAGTGAATTGGCAACAGGCGGCTGTAGGTTGGTAACGATAAAATCACGCAAAGTCCTTTCAACAAAAGCCCTGAGGGTCAATGCCGTGGCCAGTTGTGACGTAAGGTTGACATCACTGAGATGCAAGGTGATACCAAGTCTGGAAAAGAAGGATAAAGTGGCATTGTATGATTAAAAAACGAGTGCTATATTTCAAATAATGTAAAGAGCAATGTGATTCTGAATGAGTTTGGGGACAATTTATGTGCAAGCTTTATACAGCCTGGCCTAATATGAAATACAATACTTTAATTAGATTCGCTGTCAGACTTTTTTCCGGGATCAGGAATGAACACTTGTATTCAGGTTACCTCATTAGATTTTCTTACAAATATATAATATACACATTTATACAAGACGGATATCTTTTCACATTATACAGAACACACCAAGGTTTGGTTTGGTTTAGTTTAATCTTGCTTAACGTCCTATTTACAGCTAAGGTCATTTAAGGACATGCCTCCATGTATGTAGTGTTTGCGTACTTGTGTGTGTGTATGCCGGATACAGGGTATGTTGGTGTGCTTGCCTCCTTGTGATAGCGCGGATCTGATGCCGACTTTATAGTGCTATCTCACTGAAATGCCATGTCGAAGGCACCAAGCGCAGCATTCCGCCCAGTCTCATTATACTGACTACGGGTGAACCAGTTGTTGCCATTCCCCTTAATGCTGAACGTTAAGCAGAGAATAACAACTACCATTTTAAGGACTTTGGTATGTCCCGGCCTGGGGACAGAACCCATTGCCTTCCTCACCTGGACGAACGCTCAACATTCAAGACAAAAGTTAGGTGTTGCCAAGCAAGGCGCTAGGAAATAAAAGGTAGTAAGGAGAAGAAAGAAAGATAAATATCCTAAATAGTGCAATAGGCGCAGCAGATTTATTTTGGTCGCTTTTGTGTCCTAAAATAGAGGACACCAAAGAAAATCCCAATTCTGCAGGGGGTTCTCACATTAGTCGCTTCCTACAATGTCATGCAGTGGGTAACAGCAGGTGTATTCTTTTCCCGATCCCCTACCTGCAGGGGTGACACACCAAGGACGATTCAGTAATAAACACTGACAGTTGTACTCTTATCACAACGGAACGTTCATAATAAACACGGGAAGATGTACTCATATCATAACAAGAAAGTTCATAATAAACACGGGCAGATGTACTCATATCATAACAAGAAAGTTCATAATAAACACGGGCAGATGTACTCATATCATAACAGGAAAGTACATAATAAACACGGGCAGATGTACTCATATCATAACAAGAAAGTTCATAATAAACACGGGCAGATGTACTCATATCATAACAAGAAAGTTCATAATAAACACGGGCAGATGTATTCATATTATAACAGGAAAGTTCATAATAAACACGGGTAGTTGCACTCATATCCTACCGGGAAAGTTCATAATAATTCAGGGCAGTTGCACTCATATGTAACCGGAAATGTCACCATAAACGCTGATAGTTATACTCATATCATACCGGGATATTTCATAATAATCGCGGGCAGATGTACTCATATCATAACGGGAAAGTTCATTATAAACACGGCCAGAAGTACTCATATCATAACGGGAAAGTTAATCATAAACACGGGCAGATGTACTCATATCATAACGGGAAAGTTAATGATAAACACGGGCAGATGTACTCATATCATAGCGGGAAAGTTCATTATAAACACGGGCAGATGTACTCATATCATAACGGGAAAGTTAATAATAAACACGGGCAGATGTACTCATATCATACCGGGGAAATTAATCAAAACCACGGGCAGATGTACTCATATCATAACGGGAAAGTTAATCAAAAACACGGGCAGATGTACTCATATCATAAAAAGAAAGTTCATAATAAACACCGGCAGATGTACTCTTATCATAACAAGAAAGTTCATAATAAACTCGGGCAGATGTACTCTTATCATAACGGGAACGTTCATAATAAACACGGGCAGATGTACTCATATCATAACGGGAAAGTTAATAATAAACAGGGGCAGTTGTACTCATATCATAAAAAGAAAGTTCATAATAAACACGGGCAGATTATGTACTCTTATCATAACAAGAAAGTTCATAATAAACTCGGGCAGATGTACTCTTATCATAACGGGAACGTTCATAATAAACTCGGGAAGATGTACTCATATCATAACGGGAAAGTTAATAATAAACAGGGGCAATTGTACTCATATCATAAAAAGGAAGTTCATAATAAACACGGGCAGATGATGTACTCTTATCATAACGGGAACGTTCATAATAAACACGGGCAGTTGTATTCATATCATATTGGGAAATGTCACAATTAACACGGACAGTTGCACTCATATCATAACGGGAAAGTTCATTATAAACACGGGCAGTTGAACTCAAACACAGACAGTTGTACTCATATGTTACCGGGAAATGTCACAATAAACGCGACAGTTGTACTCATGTCATAACGGGCAATTTCATCATAAAAACTGACAGTTGGTCGTACTCACATCATAAATGATTTGTTTAAAGTAACTTATACACTACTGGTTAATAGTGGACAAATTAAGAGCAAATATAGAAGGGTTAACTCTTATCATATAGACAAATCATATACTATCAATATCTTTAATGTTCCAGATTTACATATTTTGACGATGTCTTGTTTACAATATGGCCCTTCATCGATAAATATATGCAGTATATGGTATCAGCACATTCATGGTAACTTTAAATTAGTAATCCTAAAATACAAATCAGTATTTGTATTTCAATACGGGCAGATATAGTTGTAAATTAACATAGAGAGTTGTAAATATCGGTTGTACTCACTTCGTAAAGGGCAACGCTTTAGGATAAAGTGTTAGAGCTGTTGTGTGGCACACACCACAAATGACCAGGATTGGATGGGTATTGACCACGTCCTGAACGTCCCGTTCAACAGGTTCACCGTCTAGTGTGAACACGGTAATTGTAATGATACCCTGCAAGGATAATGCAAAACAGTCATTCGATTTGCTATTATTTTAACTCCATACAATACAAAACATCTTAGTTACAGTGGAGTCAGAAAGCAAATTTTATTAATCACCAAAACATTATAATAAAGCAATAGGTTTCTTCTGAGAGAAGTTTACCTGATCTATCGTCGGAAAATTGAAAGCAACATTTTTGAATTGGGAGAGCCGAGATTCGAATGACTGGGATACATTCTGTAACAGTTCTGCTGTATTGCGTGCTGCAAGACAGGACAAATTCATACATGGAGATCTGTACTGGATATCAAACCTAAATAGACAGTAAAATACAGTGTCAATGTGCCTTCAAACCAATCAATACGAAAACTACACATACACAAGGTAATAAAATGCGTGTTTGACGCTTGTATAGATCAAATGTAACTACAGTATCATAAAAACGTATTGTCCTGATCAAGTTATGTCGGTCAAAAGGCATTGTTTCGTACATTGATTTGTAAATTTGACGGAGTTTCAATTATTGGTTATATATTGTTTAGTGCACGGTTGAAACTTTGATATATATATATATTTACCTATCAATATAAACGTTTCTGGAAACCCGGTGATAAAGTCTTGCCTATCAACTACGCAGTTTGCTATACCGGAAGATATATACAATATAACGTTGGTATCGTCTTTCTTATCAGTGAAAGAGTGTGATGTACAGAGCTCAAACTCTGCTCGAGTCTTACCTATCAATAGTGCAGTGTTTTGTACAAAGAGGAGTAGATTTATATAAGCCGGAAGTACACCATTGACATCCGGGTACTAATGAACAGTTAGTGACATCCAACCTACAAGCAATAGAGATTGTGATATATAACGTAAAAAGACATTGAATTGTTCAAGTAAGAACACACAATATACTGAAAACTCGTATCTATCTTGGAAAAATAAGTGCACCCTTCAACGTAGCCTGATACGTAGGTCCTCCCTCGTGTGACGTCACAGTCCCGTGGTATTGGATTTATTATTATTTTTTTGTATTCCCAACTTGTTTATATTTTTGCAAGATATTTTAAATAATTAACTAAAAATATTTGTGTATGTCCTCTATGCACTTAAATGATATTTATGGTTATTTTTTACGCAAAAAGCATATTTGTCCTTGCTAAAGGTCATTTTGCCCGAGTGTCGGCGATCGGACGTGAAAAGGTCATTTGCCCAACATCGTGGGGATTTTGCGGGTACTCCGGTTTCTCCCAACATTAAGACCCCCAACACACTTCTATCTGGGCCACTTCTGAAATATCAGTAAGATTTTCAATGTTTGTTGGTATACTAGGTTACGTACATCAATATTTCCTTTCCGAAAATGAAGTGTTTTTGACATCAATCTTTGATATAAAGCATGTAAGACGGCTATCATCTACAACGCCGCATATGTTTTCGTTGGGACACTCCGTTGTTAATGCGGGCAATTATTTTTCAATTGAGGACAACACTCGAAAGGTGATTGTATATGGGATATAAGATACTAAATTATGTTATGTTCGGCAGTAGCGTAATTAACTGTGAACAGTGGAAAATCAGTGACATATATTTTACTCTTCTGAGGAGACGGTTGGTATACTATCAGGTATTGGTTCCCTTTGTTACAAATAGACTGTTACATTTAATTATTAATTACTATATATATTTTGACGTTCCGGTAAAACAAAAGTACTTGAAGAAAGATCTCCTCAGTCTCCCATATATCTGAAAGGCATTATACTTATGATATCCCTCATAGGGGTCATCGGTATTCTCGTGAGTGTTAAAGAATAGATAAATATATTTAAAAAAAATCACCAATAATCTTCAACAGGCCTTTTCGATACCGTTGTTGTGGTGAAGTGCATCTTTGAGTATAATGTTAACTTATTGTGCGAGCGCCTTTAAGCCGGTCGTTGCGTTTGTGTTCGTTTTGTTTCTAACCGCCTACTCTGAGACGTCTACAGAACTCCGGGGACCAAACATGTTGGATCAACCATACCGAAAGTCGAAACCAGACAGATTGTTACAGGCCTTAACTTATCATTAATGTAATTTGTGTTACATTTACGATGATTTACTACGTACGTGTTGAATCAAAAGACCTTCAGAATGACTTGTTTTGAAGAAAAGTAGTCGGAAGTCTTGGTACGTTAGGAAAAGTCGTACGTTCCAATCTTTAACGTCACGACTGCAACATGGAGTTTTGTATACATGTATATCATGACTGTTTTGTCTGCTTTTCCGACTTTCTAGTGGACCCATATCCATTTGATCAAATTATAAGGTATGCTAGATGCGTTGTTTTGATATTCCCTATAATCAAATATAAGAAATCCCACGACTCCTGAAATCTATCAAATGTGACTTCGGTGTCCTAATACCAGGAACATGCTGCATCTCATTGCGAGACCAATTACGCAGGGTTTTTTTTTGAAACAAAAACAGTAACCAAAGATACCTGTATTCATTCAGAGACTTAACGATTCAAATATTGCGATGATTCTGACCTTTAGCGCACGGATCTCTGTATGCGACACCTATTTTTCTAGTCAGCCGCATAGCAAACCTTGTAGTGTGCCGACCTATTGATTGCAGTCTCGATACGCATTAAAGCCATATTTCAACAATACCTAACATTGGGAAATTATATTTTTGATAAAATAGACAATTATAAATTCTTTCATAGCGTATAAGGTATCACGTTTTTCATATAACTCATCAAAAAATCAACGACTTATCCGTCTAGGGTTAAACGCTAAACGTATTGAATTACATGTATTAAACAACTACACTATAATGAAGTAAGTGTAATTGCACTGTTCCACCAGCGCACTATATCCTCAAATATTCCTAAGCTGCTGACAAATAATTGATATTCAATTAATGCTATACGACAGATAGGAATTTGAATGAGAAGGGCTGCTATTACAGCGTTAAACAGTAGATTAAATACTGCAATGTTCTACTCTAAATACTCATATAATAATGTTATCCAGTAAATAAATTTATATTACAATGTTTAAAGTAAAAGGGGATGTTTCTTTAATGTTCTAAAATATAGGGGATGCTATGAGAATATTCGAGAATAACTGGGGATGTTATTACAATGATTCAGAATGAAAGGGATGGACAACTACCGATATGATCTGACATTTGCACTTTTGACCCCTCGCTGTCCCTTTGAGCTTTGCAAAGGTCACATGACACCATTTATATCCTTTAATCTCCTTCTGTCCTTGACCTAGGAGTCCCAAACTTAAACTACATGGACGTCGACTAAACGTTTTATACAGTGATAACCAGACGCACCGATACATTAATGCAAACAAACAGTCAGCAGTGGGGTATTTTGCCATCACAATAACAGGTTACTAACATATATTTAAAGGAAGACGTTCTCGTACCAAAACTGAACTGACAGCCGTCGATATTAAAGTTATCTCCCTTTTATAATGGTACACCGATATTCATGTCTTCCAAGCGTTTTCCATTTAGAAACTGGATATAAGATAGACTTGGATGTTTAAAAGCCGACAAGAGAATTAAGAATTATTGGATTATCGGGTTTGTAGCCCGTTAAATCAACGTGCGATAATCATCAGAGGAACACTTTGACGATATTACAAGAGGGCCGCAATAATGAAAACCAATATGGAATACGCTGCTTTTATGTCTTTGACGATTACAAAAATAAATCGTGGTTTACAGTGAAATTTAGACCTTTTTTGCAGTATGGACATAAATAGATGTTACAGTTATATAATCAAATAATTCCCCATAGATGATAGTGTTAAACTTGTAAGCGGTAAAAGCGTGATAACAAAATAAGCATCTGCTACTAAACAATAAAAAAAATAGTTGTATGTTAAAGTGTCTGACAGTGACTATTTTTTTTGTTTTGTAATTCCAACAATGTTAGGGAGAACCTTTTGCAAACTCTGCTGTTCTTGTTGGTCATGTTTTTCTACTTTGCTGACATAATTATGCATTTAAAGGAGCCCTCCTGTGCTATGATACAGCCTTAACTATATGATGCATTGTAACACATCTTGCGGGGGTAAACACGGTAGCCTTAGTATACAAACAACCTTTATAGATCGAAAATAGGTTTTATTCTACAGCTTAAGATGACAATAGTTTCCAAGTCAGATCATAATATGCAAGTCTCTGTTTTATACTAAACGTTGCCTGTACAACCCGATTTGAGACAGCAAAAAAGCCGACATGCGTCCTCAAACACAAACGTTAAAACACATAGAGTGTGGTCCCGTAAATGACCACTGATATCATTTATCCATATTCAACAAATACAATTAAATACATACAGTGAATTACAGGATGGTTCACAGACGGTCAGGTTCAATTTGTCTGGCTGAATAATGATTTTCCTCGTTAATGTTTTCCAATGTGTACCACGTCCTGAAAAAGAATACATTTTTTTAAATAGAACATATTGAAGTAAATGTTGTCGTGGTATTATAACACAATGAACTACATATGTGATGGCATGAATGTAACCTGTCTGGTTTGGTTTTGTTCTGTTGAAAGCAGGGAATGTTATGTTTGCTGACATCGATTACGTTAAAAGATGTGTTTTTTCTGTCAGAGCTTCATACTTACCTGTAGAATGTTAAGTTAAGATTGGGCATCGGGGACAAGAGACACAGAACAAAAGTTTTATTTTCATATTAGATGTTCAGGTGCTAATTCCTTTTAGAATGACGGACCCGATTGATCTCACTCGCTTCGAAAGTGAGTCCAATTTCATACGCGTCGTTTTGTCCATTGTCTGGCAGTTCTTCTAAAAAATCCATCAGTGTCTTATATATTCACAATCTAATTGACATTATTTTTTTCTCTCTCGATACTTGTCGTTCAGGAAAACGTATCATAGCTTTGCATAATTGAAAATAATGGACATGATGTTATGGGGATGTTGAACATAATTGGAAGGAGATATTCTAAAGTCATTTAAATACAGCAGTTATAGCGTTTTCTTGTACATGAAGTTGAAAAACATGGAATCAAACAGTTTATACTGGGTGTATAATTGTATCATATTCCAATAACATTTAGCTTCGGCGGACGTCTGAAGTAGTATATTACTGATGTTAATTGATAACATCCCCTTTTTTTAGGTTGATGAAGATTTTAGGAAAGTTTTATGGTCGCCGGGTTGTTATAATCCACACACCTCTACCCTTTGTTCATATTTTGCCCCAGTATAATTGATTTTAGCTTGCACACTTCCATTCTTCATTCTCTGGTTTTGTATGTGTGCTTTCCTAGTGTTAATTTTATAACTCACAGATAGGCGTATAACTCCAATATCAAGGTCACGGTATAAAAACAATGTAACATATTTACTGTCAATTAGCTATTGTTTTAATTAATCTCTATTGTAAATATTAATATATCACAAATGCGAAAGGTTCTGGGATACGTACATGGCAAAGTGTTAAGGTGAATGTATTCATGTACCTGAGTAGGTATTGAAATGGTAGTGTTTGGGAGAGTAGTAAACATTGACATGTGTTAATTAGCTGTATACCTGGACAGGTAATGAAAGGCTAGTATACCTGTGTGATTGTTGGGAGGGTAGTATACCGTGACACGTGTTATTGAGATGATTTACCTCGACATATAATGGAACGGTAGTTTACCTGGGTGGATGTTGAGTGGGTTGTATATATTGACACGTAAATTAGATGATTTACCTGGACAGGCCTGGTGTCCGGTGCTGATGTTGGTAATACATGTGTCTTGTAGACGGCTTTTACATGTACACGGGCACTGGAACAACATGACGTCAACAACAGTTTGATGAGTACTCGAGGTTAACAACATGACAAAATCTACATAAGATACATTTGATCTACATATACTGAAGAAAATATTTAAATTGATCAGTCTGCATCGTTTCTGTTGGTAATACCATTGTTAGGTTAAATCGCCATTGTTCATGCTTTGTTTGTAAAAGGATCCTCAATAACTCTCATTATGCACGTACGTAGATTTTAAACGACACTTTGAATATATAGCAAATCTCAATTTCCGTTTTAAGTTAATATCTAACGCGATAACATTATCGTAAAAAGTCACCAACCCAACATTATTTCGCCCATTACACTGGGGAACAGAGGGTGCACTTAGTTGTACTGTAACATCTTTCAGATGTCCACCACTCCTCAAATAGACATATAGACGGAACAATGAGTTGTGTATCAATCTTAGTCCCTTAGATAGAAGTTGAAATTCCCTCCAACTGGGATATTGGAGGATCAACATACCTGACATTCACTAGTTTTTCCTAGGGCGGTACAAGGAGAACACTGCGTTGTACACGAACACATCTGCACAAAAGAATCATCGGATCTAGATCAAATCTAGAAGGTTTCGCATATTATCCAAATTATACACCAAACATTGTGATTTTTAGTGTTAATAGCAAAACGAAACAAGCCAGATACAAAATCAAATAAAACCGTAACAACACAAAAAACAAACAAAAAAACGAACAAGTAAAAAAACAACCCTGATCATTGTTTCTATCTAACACTGTTTATAGCTGTTTTACTTTCAATTCTAAATCAAAGAATTTGCTCCTAGATATTATGAAGATGCATTAACCTTTGATTGGTATTGGGTACATTTTGATGAAGACGTTGTCACTAGTAGGAATAGGTTAGTCTCGTTGACGGGGCGAATCCAGTAGTTTTGACAATCATCGGTAGTGGTTGATGTGTAGGCTTGATTCTTTAGTTTGTGAGCTAACACGAGCTGACCACTTTCCAGATCCTGACACCAATCTGCCTTTATAAACACATTAATCATTTTGCATTATTAATAACTTGTTTCGAATGATGTAAGGTAACACATTGTTTCCATTTCTAGATTCTTACATCAATCGGCTTTTACGATAGATAACAAATATATCAGTGAGTATTTATTTTTGACATCTTATTTCTTTTGTAAGTGGGTACGTATATCAAACAACAGCATTTACATACAATACGGAAATTGTACATTTCATTAAGCATAACATGAGAGGTATAGAAAATAAATACACCACAGCCTGGTCATATCATGACTAAAATGGACCTTAAAAACCCCTCAAAAAACAACACTTTAAAAGACCATCCTCTGCTTGAAGTGAACACAATCGATCTTTACAAATTGGCAAACAGTTGCGGCTTAATAATCCACGTGACGATTTCGTGTCTTCGATCATGAACTTTTCTATTTTCAGAAAAACATCGCTGCACCCTACATCCGGTGCTTACACGTCACAGTTGATTCAAAATCATAGGCATAACCCGAATTTCACGATTTCCGTGATACATCTCGAACGCTAATGAGCGAACTTATTACAACAAATGACTTAAGCAGGAAGCAGTCGATGGATACTTTGAGCAAGTTAATTACAGCTTGCCATCATAATACTATTCGGGAAATATAATATTTCCTTTTACTATGTTATTGTCGATGTGTTTAATTATATTCATTAATGTACTGTGTGTTCAGCGCCAGTAGATCATTCAGAACCCCAACCCATCTGTGAAAAGGTATGGCTTTTTCCGTCAATTTCGGTTTTATCCCATTTTAAGACCCCAATATATGTGTTGCAATCTTGGCCAACAAGAGTCACTGATGCAAAGATTAATTGAAAAATACAGTTTACTCTAATCGTACATTCGTTCAATACAAAGTCCATATTTGTTTCTAAATCTACTAAATAATAGATATGGAATGTTCGACAAACCTACATATTGAGGATCCCAGGCATATTTTTTTTTACATACGGACATGATTCCGAAGAAGGTCCAGAGGCTTGTCATATTGCACTGTACATTTCCACTGTAAACCGGAACTTAATTAGCACAGCCCGCAGCATGAAGCATGGGCTGGGTTTATTTGTTAGACGATCATATTAGAAGGCGTGATGCGACAGTGTGAACGTTTCAGCTTTTCAATACGTGTAAACAGTGTATCAAAGAAGACACGTGCTAATCGACTGAATGTTGGTCCACATAAAGTTTCTATGATTTAAGTAATAGTCAGTAGTAGATAACATAAAGGTCGTCCCACTTTTCCTCAAGACATACACAACATTATTAAAACGATGTACATGGTGACAACAATAAATGGCGTACAGCGAATAAAGACGATGTACATGGTGACAACAATAAATGGCGTACAGCGAATAAAGACGATGCTTAAAGATGTAACCCTAATCGGTCACCATAGTGAAATCAAAATGGACCCCGATGAAACAATAAGGTTGCAATGCCTGTACCGCATAAATCATCCGACTTCAACACTCCTGCCAAATTCAGGAAACTATGTTCTTTGCAAACGACCTAAACAATCGGAAAACATTCCTTAAATAAATAAACCGACATTGAAACGCCGTAGTCAAAACCACACTTGAACACAACGACAGTTAAATTGTTCAAATGTAGAGCGAATTTTTGGGAGAAAGCCGTGTATACGTAACTTATTGGTCGATATAAAACTTCCTTCTAGAATATTCTGATAATTATATACAGACGCTTGAATAGAAAATCAACTGTAGGATATATGCTCCGTAATCAGGTCTGGCTAGGATGTCACGATTTAGGAAATGTAGGAACTCAATCAGTATAACTGTAAGCGCCTGGGTATTCCGATATTGTCATATACAATTATCTAGTCCTTGATATGTAAAAGTCGGTAAACACACTTTACACCGCCACGGAATTCCGATATGAAGCATGCATTTTAGTATTTGCATAATGCCCAGATAAAACCGCAAAAATGACCTGTAAATGAAGTAGATATTTGAAAAATTAATAAAAAAAAACATTCCAAGTTTATGATTGCTGCCAAAAAGATAAAAAAAAAACCACTTTGGTATATGGAAGATTTTTAAAGATTTATAGCTACAGCATTCAACGAAAAAAAGTGGTAATTCATGGAACTAAACTTCCCAGCTATAAACTGCAATAATGACGTAAAATCATTCTTTTAAGGAGTGTGAACACCCAACTAGGATTCTGACACTGCATAAATTGAACGGTACTGAAGGGGCTTGACTAGAAGAGGGTCTTCTAGGGAAGGGGATGGGGTGGAGTAGGGGGGTACGCAGATATAAATTGCCACAAGAGTAAAATGACTTTCCCATTAAGCGGCTACTGCAGGAGCAAAACGATTCAGATGGTATTCTAGGCGTTAACATACCTATATATACACTTCGTGGAGGGTACAATGACTTGGAAATGAAGTGGTTATTCTAGGGGAACAAAGCACTGTAAGGCACATACGTTTATCATTCCTACCAAGTTTCATTTAAATCGGCCAAGTTGAATTTGACTTTAAGTTTGAAATAGTTTTTCAAAATGGCGGCCATGGCGGCCATATTGGATTTCTGATTGACCCGAAAAATAACAACACTTTGTCAGGACCTAGAGTTGATCATTCCTACCAAGATTCAGTTAAATCGACCCAGAAGAACTTGACTTCATGTTTGAAATAGTTTTTTAAAATGGCAGCCTTGGCGGCCATATTGGATTTCTGATCGACTCGAAAAATAACAGCACTTGGTCAGGGAGTTGTAAGTAACATTCCCATGAAGTATAAATGAAATCCCGTCGACAAATTTTCAGCTTAAGTTGAAAATGTAAAATGTTAACGGACGACGCAAGACGATGGACGACGGACGAAGACGGATAGCAATAGGTCACTTGAGCTTAAGATCAGGTGACGTAAAAATGCAATGAAAGTTTACCTCTAATAGTCCAATTCGTAGTAATGAGCTGGCTACCTCAGGTAGTATCTGGGTAACATGTTGATTAGTTGGTTGAAATGTTTCTCCATACATAACATACCTGGTAGACAAAGGGACAACATAAGTGTGCATCAATAAGTCAGAGACGTTAGGAACTTTAGCGTGTATAGACAAACCAGATAAGTGCTATTTCATCTTGACATATATCGTTAGTGTTTTAGAGGTACGTATAGGTAACCGAGATTGACCCCTCTACAGTTCTTGAACAATGAAACAAGCGTAGGTGTTATCTAATTTAACGATGATAGTCCAGTGTATTGAAACTTTGTGACATTGCAAAATGAATCGTTTACCATACCAGGTGGTAACAAGATATTAGCTAAGAAAACATAATATACGGAAGAGTCATTCAGTATACGTTCCAGAGGAACAAACAACTAGCAGTTTAGAATTAAACTTCATTTGTAGAGGAAAAACCATAGTCAAAATTGTTTTAACGCGACTGTAAAATATATATATTCAAAGCAATATGTGTTTATTATGATGTGGGAATTAACACAAACCCAAAATTCAGAATAATATTTCAAAAACATACACGTATTTATACATTTTGTCAAGCCTTTGGACATTTAAGTAACACTATTGGAAGTTATTTCTATTAAGAATGATAACCATGTACTAAGAAAAGCATGTCTGCCTTATGTACATACCCTTTGTCATTCAAAATGAAACACTGTTTGTTCTCCTTGTTACATGGTCGGAGAATGTTGAAGAACACCACGTTCATTTGCCGTGTTTCAACGTCTGCGGCCAACACCCCAGCTACACGTCCTCTGTGGTAGGATGATAGGATATACAAGTTATTTTCGTACCTTATTAAAGTAATGTATTAAACTAATGGAGGATATTCCATGTTCCCCTGAACATCAGATATATTGTCAGAGAATGGAATCATTTACCTTATATTTCGCTTTTCTTCATATGTGTCCGAACAATTATGACATAGATTGTTCATTATATTTTATTTGAATACCAGAGATAAGTCCGAGCTAGAAGAGATGTTCATATTTTCCAGTTGAATGTCTCCTTTTAGCTTTCGTATCTCTAGTGATTATTTCACGAAGGTATTTATTATAACCAGGTGACTAATTTTAAACCAATTGGTTTGATGATTTTACAACTTTCATTAGTAAAAATTACATCAAAACATTTATTGCACTTATCCATGGATCACTCAAAAACTCAAAAAAAGATCAAAAATAGTACCTGGCCTTGAAGAATGCCCGGGATAATGTAACAGTTGAATTGTTCTGCGCGAGAAACACAGTTGCGTGGGTGTATTTTATGGCTTCTTTGTACCACGTGTCAAGACGAGGGTCATACATGTCGGATAACACCGTACCAGGGTAGACCTGGAACACGCCATTGTCTGTCCCCACGTACCTGTACCACAAATATTTAATACATGTACCATATAATGCAGAATATCAGGAGATATATGTATTTACCACAGCAAAATCAACAGAAGCATCAAGTACAGACACATGCAGAATATATCAGTCTATCATTTATAAAAGTTATAAAATAACGTCAGTTATTGTTCACCGGTTTCAATGAAAAAAATGATATGTTTCGACTATAAACATAGCTTCTATTACAATATTATCACTATTTAAAAAAAAGCATGTCTGATGATGACTGTCATTGTCAAATTCACAATTACAAAATGAGCTTGTAAAGTTTCCATTGAATGGAAGGGTCTGCCCTAGTGGTGATTGATTTTTATGTAAAGTGCGCTACAGCATGTACAACTAAGGAGTGCTGCTAGTTCAAACATATATATATATTCTTGTCCCTACTGTTCATCAATGGAACTGAGTAAAGGCTCCGGAGAGACCGCACTAGACAAAAACTGTCACCATCTTTAGAACCGTTGTTGTATATTGCACATGGAAGACAAGTAACTTAACGGTCCTAATTGTCGGTCGCTTTAGTAGTGCTATTCCGTCCTCGATAACTAACAGGGTCTTTAATTGCATGACTTGATATTTCTTTTATTGCTTGAAGC